AGAAACTTTAGGAGACATACTCATTTCCTGCTCGGACCCTTATCATATGAATGAAAGTACTGCTAGCAAAGCAGGCCTCACAGGACTTTTAGGAACTCTTTCTTATGCCCGATCACCCTGGAACCCACTCTAGCCAGCAGAGGGCTGTACCACCTTCCCTGTCAAGGTTTTTAGGCTTAAACAGATTAGAGACAGAAGGAGCTTCTCCCAGACGGAAATGGGGACTCAGGCTATGTCAGAATAGCTGGGGAGCGAAGGTCCATCACCCCCTCTTTGCTGCAGCCTCCTGAGTCCTTCCTTGAGGGCCTCCCAAGTGATCGTGTCTAGTTTAGGTTGCCCCCTCTCTGAAGGGTCGTACCCATCATTGACTGACCAAGCATTGGGGGTAGAGATGGATGAAGCAGAAGCAGCGCTGCTGCCAGGGAGATAAGCTTTGTCTCCTTAGTGGCTCACAGTCCAGAGGTTGCTCACTCAGCCTTAGCCATGGAGGGGCAGTTACAACTCCTGAACCCAGGCAGAGCGGTTCCCAACATATATTGCCTTCAACAAACTAGAAGACACCTGTAACCTCAACCACAATATATGAGAAAGAACTAAAAGAGGAAAGGTCAGACAGGGAGATGCCTGAAGAGAATGTTTGTATTTTTAGAACTCACTCATTAGAACAAAAGACTCCAACAGAGATGGCATAACCTGAGGGGTAAAGCCAGTTCTCTGTCTGAAGCAATGAGAACGAGGTGAGCACCGGCAGCAGGGACTCTCTGGAGACTGCCTGTTACCACAGAGCAGTAGGAGAGGTAAAGCCAAAGGAGGGGACGCAGACAGGCCGCACTTGTAAGAACTCGTCTGCAGATGAGCTGCAGGGGGCGGTGGGGACAGATCCCGAAGGAGAGGGAATGAAAGGCTAAAGCAGCGCTCTCAAACCCACAAATCTGTCATGGAGCTCCCCTATAACTTAGGAAGTACTATTGAGTCCCAAATTCCGTCCTGCCTACCACAGGAATTTTTCAAATCAGTGCACCAGAAGGAAACTCACCTCATTTAAAGATAGTAATTGAGAATGAAACTGCATAGCACTCATACAAAAACACTCCAAGAAAAGGAGGAAATCAGAGAAACAGCAGATAAAATCATTCAAAAGAAAAAATTAATTTACTAATAATAAGCACACTAAATATGTGACCAAATATACTGTTGTAACTCAAAGAACTTAAGGAAACAGTCCAAGGAGAGATCCAGGTGATCAGAACCACCATGGCAAAACGACCAAAGGAAATGCAATATGAACTAACAGTTCAGAAGAGAACAGGAAAAGAAAAACAATAAAGCCAACCTGAGAAATCAAGGCCTCATCAGAAGGAACACTGAGGTGACAAACTAAACTAGGAGAAGGCAAAGAGGAGATAAAATGGAATGGTTTTCATCTTGATTAACCAGAGATTCAAAATGTAGCATTTTAATTGATAAGCATGGAATAAAGGCATAAACATACTTTAGGCATAAAGTTAAACAAGAAGAACTGAGGAAATAATAGAATCAACTAAAACTGTGATAGAGGAAAGAAGGAAGTGTAAGTATACAAATTGACATTGCTCAAGTAGCAAGGAGTTGGAAACATCTAAAATATTAAATATATAATTTAAAATTATAGTTAAGAAAACCACTAGTGGAACCGAGGGAACTAGAGCAAACACAGATAATGTTGTAAAGGTACCGTGTACTATACAGTGTTGATTACTCATCCGTTATCCACTTTTTCCACCCCTCCTTCCTATCAGAACCCTAATTTTGGTCATATATCCATCCTTTCTTCACACAGTCTTGTACTTTAGGGCAGCGGTTCTTAACTGGGGGTGATTCTGCCCTCCAGGAGACCTATGGTAATGTCTGCAGACAATTTAGGGGATGCTACTGACATTTAGGGTACAGGCCAGGAGGAGGCGACTGACTCCAGGCTACTATCCTGTGTGGTCTTTCCGGCCTTACCATCGGTAACTGCAAATGCTCTGCCTGGCAGGCTTCCTGGAATAAAGCTGTTCTACCCGCAGTCTTCCAAGGGAGCTGTAGTTAAGGAGTCGGGCTCCTGGCCCAGGCACCACCTCCAGAGGCCTCCTTAGCAGGGGACTTTGGCTGAGATGCTTTTTAGCTGACTTCACTGAGACCTTATGGGAGTAAGATCTTGACCAAGACATTGTTTTCCATTCTGACTCAGTTTTTTTTCACGCCTAGCCCTTCCCCCTCTCCCTGCTCCGGGTCTCCTCGGTTCACGAGGCAAGACCTTTTTGTTCAGTGCTCATGGGCGGTGAGACAATTCCCCCCACCTGCACCACATGCTATTTGACTGACGCACGCCTAGTGCCATTCCACGGGAGAAAGTGGCAAAGCGAGGAGCCAGCACTACTTTTCTTTCTGGCCTCTTGCTTATATTACCACAGTAAGTGAATGAACACTTGTTGTTTTCATTTTGGCTCACTGTCTTAACCAACTCCCTCAATCCTTGCAGCTTGGCATAGGGATAGTGCTCAACATCCTACAAAGTGCAGAACATACGCCACACCCCCCGCCCACTCCCAGCCAAATGAAGATTTATTTACCTGGTCCCAAATACCAGTGCTGAAGCCTTTGGGGAATCTGACCCCAGCACCACCTCCAGGGCCAACAATTTCATGGCATTCTCCTGGAGAATTTTATTCACCCAGAGGCAGTCAGATGACCAAACAGTTAGCCCAATCCCTAGAAGTGAAAGACTTACTATTCCACGGGTGAGGGAAGAGATTTCCCTTAATTTTTGTTGTGTGGGACATGAACAGGAAACACATGGCTCACCACCACTGGCAGCAATCTTGTGAACAGGAGGGAAAGCAACTTTGGAGATAGGAGAGAACATGGTCCTTGCCATTGTGACTCATGCAACTGTGGCTGGAGCCCCTCTCTCCTTTGGGCCTTCAGAAATGCGGACCTTCTGGTGGACCTTGACAAATTTCCCTACGATTTTAAGCTGCATTCAACTGGGGTGTTTCTTACGTGCAATGAAATAAGATTTTTACAAAAAGATTTTTTAAAAGAGCAATAAAAAAAAGCAGAAAGCAAAAGACATATTCCATATAAACTATGTTACTGTATTAAATAAGAGATCCTAAAATTGAATTACAAAGCAAAACTCACTATACACTATATTAAAATATCTAAACAAAACAAAATACCTAAAAAAAATACCTGACACAAATACTATAAGCAATAAAAGGATGGATGAAGATGTTATCAGGCAATGCAAACTAAAATAAAACATAAGTCATAATCTTAATGTCTGACATTTTAAATTACAGGGCAAATGCATCCAAGAGACAAAATAAAAAGATACTGTTATAATGATAAAGGTAAAACCCACAATGCAAATCTAACAGTTGTGAATTCATATGCATCAGAAAACATAGTTGCATACTGTGGAGAAAAAAGAAGTAAAAACCACAGTGAAAGGAGATACTGAAAGAAATCTGTAAGTGGAAAGTTTAATTTAACTCTCTCTCAACTTGAAGAAAAGGTCATAAAAATCTATATATTTAATCAAGATGTAATTTATATAATATAAAAAAGATTTCTTATAGTCCTCCATTTTGTAAAAATAGACGCTAGCTCTTCCACAAAAGGCAAACTTTACGTGCAGTAGTTTGGTAGCCATGGTTCTGTACAAAGGGAGAGATACTTCTGCTTGAACTCCTCATCACAAGGGACTCCTGCAAAAGGAGTGTAAGGACTGCTCCCATGGGCAAGACCGCTGCAGTTTGTGGTGGCTCCAGGTACAGGGTAGGAGAATTAGGGAGGGACTAGAGAGAACTGCTGGGCTGCCACAGAAGCAATCCCAATCTAAGAACAATCCAGGTATCCACCATCTAGATAAGAAGGCGAGGATAAGATGAGGTAAAATTAACGAACACTGTATGTAAGCAAACTTTGATAAACACACAAGGGAAGACCAAGAACTTTTCCATGAACTATGAACACAAGACAAAAAAGTATAGTCTTAGCTCGAACTGGCATGGAACTAGGTTAGAGTGGACCCAGATCAAAGTCAGCAGAACCTGGAGGGAATTCTGAGTGACTTTTCCATTGTCTACAAATTTTAATTAGATATTTCTAAAAAAATTATACATTTAATTTTTCACTTAAAACGGCCACCTATGCCCTTACGTTCTATGTGTATACTGAGCACACAGCCACATGGTCTTTTGTCTCTCTACTCTCTCCTTTTGACCTTCACTTCCTGCTCAAACGAATCTTGAGGAAGAGTGTTCAGCACACTTTTCTCTTTAAGCCAAGACTGATATAATACCTCCAAAACACCTGGCAGTAAGTGAGAATGGGGTATGAGAACTCATTAGAACCAGGGCAAAAGAATCTGTTGTCAGACTTCAAGGCCAAAGTTAGGTCTGGGTTCAGGTGTAGGGTTTTTAAGAGTGAAAAGAATGAATAATGCACTGTTGGACGGTTCTTCAAGCTGGGCTCTCTCATCTCTTTGCTGCTTGAAGGATTGATTAGCTGCAGAAAGAAATATCTTCTAATATTTAAAAACAAACAAATAAACAAACAAAAACCACACCTTCCAGGGATAGAATCAAGTGAGAAGCTGGATGCTTCAGTAAAACTCCCACTAAATAATGATAACTAAAATTTCTTGCTCTAATTATAGAAGACTTTTTGTTTGTTCTGGAAAATGATTCTAAGATTTTTACAAATAAAAATGTCCAGTCTACAAAGCAATATTACCGAGTTTGGTAACTACAGTAAAATCATAGCTCTTATATAATCATAGAAAAAGTGATTTCTATGGAAGTTTCTAGAAAGTTAATATATTGTGATGTGTATAGCCAATAATAAGGAATTTTATTTGATATGTAACATAAGTACTGATTAATATTTAAATAATCTACTTTGAAAGCTAAAAGGAGAGAAAGATAAAGAATTATTTAGAAATGAAAAAAAATTTGTCAGTCACTTGTTGATTCTGGAAATAAAATATTTTAATTCAGTTCCACTTAAAAAATAAAAGTAGTTTCCTTACCCCCGCTATGAGCACAGTAGCTACATTTTTACATACAAAAAGCTTAGGTACATTCAACTGTTTATAAGACAGGTCTCCACATAATACATTTACATTCATGTGAAGAATACGAACTTACATAATTGTATATATTCATGACTTTCACATCTGGTACCTTTTAAAACTAACATGTAATATGACTATTTTCTAAAAGTTAGTTCATATATGCTAATTTAAGGTTAGGAGAGTCTCTTCTGAAGAATTTTAATAGTTGTATTCATACGAGAATTCAATAATTTTATAACAAGAAGCTTCACGCTAAAGCTTTCGCAATATAAGTTACCTGACTGGCAATGCATGGGTTTCTTACCAGGTTGTACTGTTTGGTTTACAGTTTAAGTCATTTCAAGTTTTAAATAATTAACTATTTGTGCAGAGGTAAAAAAGCACCAAAGGTAATATTTTTTCACATCACACATGAAATCACAACACAATGATCTCAATTTCCCTTTGAAATCTAATCATGTGAAAAAAATATTTATTCGGATGGTCAATATTGAAGCTTTCTTAGTGAGATCAAGGGATACACCAGACATAAAAAGTGAAAACAGGTGCTGTGGAATTCAGATATTCTTCTCACACTGATGGTTTTTCTATTTTTGAACTTTTCCTTAAATCTAAAAAGAGCTCCAAAAGTGTTACATTTTATAAAGTTGTCAATTATATCTCTTAAAAAGAAACTCTAAAGATGTCTTTCTCGCCAATATATGAAGCAAAATTTTCCTGATGAACAAAAGAACATAATGGTAAGTAAATATATAATGAAAATATCTTCTACAAATGAATATATAAATTTATGTGCATAAAGCTGTAGATATCCCAGCTGTATATGCAATATTTTAAATAACACACAGTAAAAAAATTCAAAGCACAGATTGAAAAAATAACCCATGGACTGTAACTCCAATTATTAAATATTGCAGCATATATGTAGTTGTTAACAACTGCAGGGGAAATATTTGTAATTAAATGGTCAATGATCTCTCTTTGGAAATGTACTTTTTAAAAGTCCCCAAGATGTAATATGGACCACCAAATTTCAACCAAAGCTACAGGTTTTTCTTTTTTTTTAAAATTAATTTCAGAGCTACAGGTTTTTAAAGCCAAGATGCTATCCATGATAATGAAATGTGTGCAGAATCCACTTCTCGGATTCTCCGTGGGGCAGTGCTACTGGCTCCACACTGGTACCAGCCAGCAGGGTATTTACGTGTCTTTACGTACCTGTAAACATCACAGTAAGAACGACAGACCTTTATCACCGTAAGTTTTGCTACTCATAAAATGCTAATAAACATTGTTTTAAACACTTCCAGATCATGACAACAGTTTCCTACCTGAATATACACAAAGAACTCTCCAGAGGTCACATAGTTTTAAATGAATACAGAGAGATATAAGAAGAAACATAAACTATTTGCTTTGACAGCTTTGAGCCAAGACTTACTACATGACGTTTTCTAATAAACATGTGATTCTTTTTAAGTATAAGGAGTTTGGGCTCCTGCTAGATTTCATTTCTTCTTCCCAGTGTTTTTTTTGTGTTCATGCATTTCTGTTTTGTTAGTTACACTCTTTCTCCGGGATGAGGTACTGGGCACAACTGCATTAGAGGGTCCACTGGTGGCTAAAAAAGAAGAAAAAAGAAAAACCATTGCTTAGATTTTCATAAGTAATCCAAGTTTAAATAATACTGCTGAGCAACAAAATAATACTTTTTATGTTATAACTTAATGCAAATGAAACACTGTAAACATTTAACATAGCATTTTTAACCTTTTACTTTTTAGAATTCAACCAATACAGAAAATTAACATCAATGGTCTATGTTTACAAAACAAATTTCTCTTTTTACTCTACATTCTTCCTGGGAAACTAATTTACTGCATCATTTTAAACCATCAGCTAGTGTGCTAACAAGCTTTAAATTTACTTTTCTGTCTTGGGCCTTTCCCTTATGTCAAGATCAGTCTATCCTACTAGAAACCTAAGTATCAGACAGGAAACATCAACTTAACATATTTAAAACTGAACTCACTATTTTCCTCATCAACATCTATTTTCTCCTATATCTCCTACCTCATCCTTATCTAAAAAGCTAAAATGTTAGAAAACTAGAACATTTCTTGGCTTAGACTCATCCTTCTACATGCAAACCAACATCAAACCCTAATAGTTATAGAAAAGCAATTCTAAGCCGAGTTACACTTCTGTACAAGTGCATAAGCTCATGTCAGACCAATTCTCCCACACGTAACAAGTATTAACCCTGGGTAAAGTACGAAAGTGAACAAGGGGGACATATACTGGAAAAAATCAACGCTTGAAAGAAGTAAACATTAAGAGATGGGTGTATACCATCCTGTTGACCTTTTAAAAAAGGTTTTGGCCTATGAACTGGATCTACTATGCACCATGTGAAATGGCAAAAACTCCCCATACAACTCTGTCCCACCAGCATGAAGAACCAGACGACCAGTACCAGGACAACTACAGCCGCTGGAAATACAGGTGGGAAATCCAAGAGCCCCCAATTTTTGTATAAACTCTCATCAAATGTATGGACTGAGCAGAGTAAACTCCAAGAATTTGAGCTAAGGCCAAAAAAAGTGAAGTGACAGTAGAACTGCCAACCACTTCGAGGGACACAGTTTTGCAATCTGAGTTCAGTCAAGGTTAATGCTTTGCTTAAAAAAAAAGCAAAACAACCCAATATTTTTTTGAGGAACATAATAGAAACAAGAGTCCAAGTTTTCTACAACATATCATTCATAATGTCTAGGATACAATCCAGAATCACTCAATAGATGAAAAAACAGGAAAACATCTTTCTTTCTGACAATGGGTAAATTCATAGAAACTAATCTTGAGGTCAGCCAGATGAACAGATAAGCAACTTTAAAGCAATCAGTTTAACTAAAGAATAAAGGAAAATATGCTTACAGTGAATAAAAATACAGAAAATCTCTGAAGAAAAACTATAAAGAAGAGTCCAAAAAAATGTCTAAAACTAAAGAATAAATATCTGAAATAAAAATGAACTGGAGGGGTTTAATGGTAGAACGGAAATGACAGGTAAAATCAACAAGGGTTACTACCCCCTAAAAAAAAACCTTCATATAAAACGATGCCTAAGCTCAACAGAAAAGCGAAAGAAGGCAGTCCAGAAGTTAGTTTTGCGAAAAGAATGAGTATGAAATATATTTTATTAACAGATGTGGGGGCCTTCTAGAGAAGACAACAGAAAAAATGCAAATATATCAATAGGATCCAGTAAGATTTTTAACCATTCGGATCAAATAACTTCCTAGACTGTAGTGCTCTTACTTAAAAATAGATTACACAGTTTGAAAGCAAGCTAATTGCTCTACAGAATCCATACATTCACACACGTGCCTAACCTGGCTTGCTGATCGCTTTAGTACTCTTTAAGGTGGTGGGTGGTGTCGGGAGGATCTTTGCAGGTGTGTATGTATTTAGAGACACTTTTCTTCTCATTACTGGACTGGAACGTGAAACTGTAGAAGCTGAAAAGAAAACAACAAACACTGAAATGTGGTACTGAAATGTGGTAATTCAATAATTTCCTGCCAATTCTATCTTTACATTTTAGAAAATTTCTTATGACATATTTAGTGGCCCTGTGAATACACATAATATCAGGGCAAAACAGATAAGGCTTTCAGGTAAGTTCAGCAAATCTATTCTTCCGGTAAAAAAGTTCTCTCATTTACTCTTAGCCAAATACATGTTCTTTTTATATTCTGAACAATAAACGTTTTACTATTCTTTAAAGAATGCTACAAGAATACAGTGACAGACTTAATTTTATCCTGCCCTGATAGAAACTCAGCTCCCTAAGGAATGGCAGAGAGCTGAGAGCACAGTTTTATTGCCTAGTAACAGAAGAACAGAAGACGGGGTCCCAAATTGTTTTTCTCTCAAAAAGATCAAGTAGAGATTCAGGGATAGTTGTCCTATAGCAGAATGGTCTAAATTAGCATATTTAAGAATAAACTAACTATAAGTAATTAAATAAATCAGATTGTTTTCCTGTATTACCCAGCTAGATTTATCTTCATGCAATAGAATTTTAAAAGATTTATTTTCTCTAATCAAGGTGGGAAGATTGAAAAGTGCAAAAAAGTAGAGATAATTCCTAAGCATGAAATCCTTTGGAGAAAAACAGGCCAGAGGTGGGAGCTACTGGCATGAACTTGTGGGTTTGTAAAGAAAGGGAGGTGAGGAGATAAATTTTAAAAAGATTTGCCTATGACTCTGTATGGTGCCAGGTGGGTGCTGGGACTAGCAGGGGAACACTCTGTAAAGTGCATGACTGTCTAACCACTATGCTGTACACCTAAAGCTAGTACAAAATAAGATTAAATGTAAACTGTAACTGAAAAATAAAACTTAAAAAAAAACCTTATTTTTCATGTTTTTGGAGAGGACCTGATACAATAAACAATGTGTCTCTAAAAATTCATATGTCTCTAAAATATGGGCCAATTATGGTAAATGTGCCTTAGGTGGTTGATACCTAGTCCTACACTGAATGAATATGATGAATATAAATTCTACTGGCAGAAGCTCAAAGTACTCACTAAAAGTGACAGGAAAGTCCCTAAACATCACATAAAGCACTACACCATCGCTTAGTATTTTTCTGCTTGCATTTTTTATCCTACTACCCCTAACTTCCACCCCTAACTCACCCAGCTAGTGTTCCTACACCCTTTCCCTCAGTCCCTCACTGTCAGTGCCCCATTATAAGCCACCTACTAGTGACCACAAAGTTAATTTTGTCCTAGGTGAGGAGAAAACACTTTTGTAAGGAGAGGATTAATAATATTTTCCCCCCTTGTAACACCACAGAATCAATATAGTTCTATATTATGATGCTACTTCTTGGACAAGTTAGGGAAATAAGTATAAATAATATAAATACAGGTGGGGCAAAAACAGGTTTACAGTTGTGAGTACACGAAAATTTATCCTTATATTATTACTTATTGTATTATTTTCCATATGAACAACTGTAAACCTGCTTTTGCCCCACCCTGTATATCATAATTACTAAATATTAATTCTGGAGTTACACTATAAAATAAAGGATTCAGATAACTTTTTTCATAATCGGTACCCTATTTTAACATTCAAAAAGAATTTAAAACTCCACAGATTTTTGAAGACCTAGGTTTTAGTCTTGCTCTATCATCAACCAGTTGATTTCCTCAGCAGTGTCATTCTGTTTTTTCCTTTAAACAGTAAACTTTTCTCAAATAAAATGTTAAATAAAACGGAGCAAAGCAAATACTCTGGTTGAAGCAGGCCTGAAACACAAAATGCAGCACCTTTCTCTTTCTCTGGAACTTCCAAAAGCTCTTGGGGATACAGCCTGAGGCCAATAAACCACATGGGTTCTAAGGTCCACCCAATTCTATGAAATACATTAACAATAATTACTTTCTTATGTAGTTCCTTTAGTAAGTAATGGCATAAAATTTTAAGAGAGTCAGATGAATTAGAATACAACTTATATCCGTGATATAGAGGAGAGCTTATTAGAACACAGAAAGGAATTTAATATTCTTTATTTCACTAATATAGCTCAATATATACTGATTAATTGAATTCACTAACCACTGATATAAAGCCATCATACATTAACAGTGCTATACAATAAACTTTCAAAGATGATCTTTTTTATAAATATTCCAGCAAAATTCTCTTTAAAACAAACACAAATTACTGCTGCTATAATCTCTAAATCATCCTCTGAAAATCTTCTAAGTTTGCAATAGCACAGATATCCACCAAAGTTCTTACATTTCATATGCACATTTTGAAATGAAAGCCTACATAACAAAACCACTCTTCAAGTGCAGTATTTTAGAACATTCATACTAAGATACCTCTGTTTCAGTTAATGACTGAAAGTTGACTCCTATAACCAGATGTAGAAGACAAGGGAAAGGCCACTTTACTGCAGAAATACAAGGTGATAAATTCTATCACTGTTTAGATAGAATGTGAACAGAATTCTCTCAAACAGTACATGTGGTGGCCAAGGAAAAGAAGGAGAATAACAGCAAGAGTGGCTTTCACTTCAAGACCTCCAGTTTTATTCTCTGGAGAAACATATTTACAGCATTCTCCTTACAAAAAGGAGAACAGTATACACAGAATGTCTGGAACTTTTTAAAGATATGATTAGAACTCTCAAGGTTCTTAACTCGAAGCAGAGCACTGTCTCCCAAAATTAATGCTTCCTACACTGAAAACTCCAATGTGCCAAAGAATCTCACAGAGCTGAAAATGACAACAGCCACCTGACTTCTTATACCTAAAAAGGTAGTCTTAATATTTCCCTCAGAATAGTACTACATGATGTTTAAATGTATTACCAAAAAACTGTTTTCTCAAAAATGAGTTTTGGAAAATCTGGGTACATAAGAAACTTAGCCTTTGTAACTATATCTCTTTCAAGGGAGGGAGGAACTTACTTAGTCATGAGCCCTTATATATCACACACACAAACTAACTTCTTCAGAATATGTTCCAAAGAACACAATTTAGAAAAATGTCCTAGTTTTCTCTCTTCAGTCAAAAGCTCTTTCTGAATCAGTATGAGAACTTGCCAAAGTGGAGAGGTGACGGCACGTGCACATGTGTGAGTCGATACAGACCGATATTTTACAATTTTCAAGGTCATTATACAATGACATATAATGGAAATGTGAAAAGAGGACCATGGCTCTGTAATGATGACCCTACGTTACCTGACTTCTATTGCTGTGTCTTAGATTTTGTTTCTCCTTTTTGTAAAAATAAGTTTTGAGAGGAGTCGGAAAAGGGGGTACATTACATATTCCAAAAAAGAATTCCAAATAATGTGCCTTTACAACCTTTCCTGCCCTAAAATTCAATTCTACCACTACTTGAGTTTATGCTTTTATAATTCTTTTTATATTCCGATAACATCTACATCCCCCAAATTAAATAATAATAATAATTTTCCTACAAAGTTCAGGGGTCGTCTGTGGAACTTCACTTGATGGAGAAGCAATGGAAGCAAGAAATTCGTCCACCTGCTTTAAAGACAGGGCATTGTGAAGAGTTTCTAGAGGACAAATAGATGGCACCATGGAATACAATTCAAAGCCTGGAAAACAAAAACAAACACAAAAACAGAAGTTGGATACTGAAGAAAAGCAGAAATTAAAAAGGCAGCAGCAGACCACTGTTCAGAGCTGGGCATCTCAGGCTTTTTCGGTCTATCCCATGCAAACGCACACGGTCTCTAAAGTCATGACAGCAGATGCTATGCAACATGTGCTTGGAACAAGATGTGACAAAGATTTCCTTTTCCATGTAATCACACAGTACGGCATGCACAGCTTCATTTTATATTTTCATAAAATCTAAAAATAGTACTTAAGAATTTTTCAGTTCTGTACTTTTCAAAATCAGGTCTATTTGATAGGTGAATAGTGGATGCCATTGAAAAACAATTAATACTTTTCTAGTCTTACCAGGACCAACAATGCTCTCTTAATGTGACCCCAAAAGAACACTCATTTGTTTATGCTGAGATTAAAATCCCAAAATATATTTCACCTACCTTTATTGTATTGACAATAATTCTATTATTGGACATTGCTAGCTGAGTAGTTAGGTCAAGTAAAAAGTAATACAAAATACATGTACGTTTGCATACAATGGCACAGAAATACAAACCTTCAATGAAACAAACCATGCAGATACACATTAATACCATCAGCGAAACAAAAGCATCTAAATATAGTTTTTTAAAAAAACAAATAGGATATAGGTTATTTCGTTTTTATAAAAGTGGCTTTTAAAATTGCTTTCATATACAACCAAAATAACAAGTCTTTCTGCATCTACTCTTTCAAAAATGCAAATAAATTTTCTCCAAAGAAAAGAGTTTTAATATTTTAAAAATTTACATAAAGTCTAGTATTATTAATTAAAAAGTAAACATTAAACTCAAAAAGACTGTGAAACTGTCTGCTTCAATAGGTATGTGCTCATTTTAACACTGACTGATATTTATCTAATTTTGAGAGAAAATATTGACCCAAGAACTAATTCTTAGCTAGAATAGGAAAACTTTGGCTAAAAGAGATTCTAATCTTCCTATGAAAACAACCAAAGGACTTACAAGACTGATATGTTTGACTTTCAGGTGCAAACCAAAGCGTGACAGAACATGACCACATACCTAAAAAAAAAACCCCAAGTACAACACCATAATGGCAGCTAAAGCATTTAAATTAAGCACTAAGGAAATCAAGTTTCCACAAGTATTACATTTTTTAAGTACAAGATTCATGCAAGTAAGCGCAAACCCTTTCTTTGCAATACACTAAAATTAACAATGTAATTTTTAATCCTTTCCTTAGAATGTTTGTAAGCCTTCATCACAACTATTTTCCTCATTTGCCTGTTAGACTTTATAACAGGGAAATGGCAATATAATCAAGTTCTTCTGGACTGCATTTTTTCCCACTTGTCTTCAGTAAGCATTTCCTTTAATGAACAATGAAAGGGTTAGCGCGGCAATTTAAAAAGCAACCCTGCTGTCATGTTTAGAAGCTATAAAAACATACCACTGAAGCCTAGAAATTCCACAGAAACGAACCGCCACCTATAGAGGTGTAGGTGTTCTGCACAGAGGCCCAGAAAATAAGGTAAAGCACTGTCAGAAGGTAACTTGTTTCACCACGTTCCTTGAACTAAAGATGAAGGCAGGAGTAAGTACATGATATGTGTTAAGATGAAAATTACATGAAAGTTAGGGAAAATAAAAAGTGAAAGAGTCAAATGACAATTCATAGGACAGATAAGACAACACAATATAAAAAAGTAAAAAAAAAAAAGAAATATTTCTAGAGTTGAGCGGAATGTTTTATCTGCATTAAAGTCTCGCAATGTGTGGACTATCCACAACTCTTTTAAAAGCCTAAACAAAAGAAATATAAAATTATTCTACTTTCTGTTGAATTTAACAAAAGCACTTTTTTTTTTTAGTTTCAGTTAACACAGATTTCTCCCATATAAAACTTGAAACACTGGCTATAAACACAAGCATTCTGCACAAAAACTATACTCAGTCATGAACCTGTAATGTCTCTTCTTAGAATTCTGGGACTTCTTTTTCTGGAGACTTCAGTTTCTATACATGCGGGTTCTTTAGAAGCTGCAGTTGTACCAAATAAGGACCTTTTTCTTCAAAAAGTAGCACTAGAACAGCTATAATGGAGGGAAAATACATTAAGCTTTAAGGCTAAATTTCCACTTGCTGAGGATGACACCTCACACCACGGTCGAGGAGAGTCAGTGCCCTGTTAGCTGAGGTGTGCCGCCACTCCTGTTGCAGAGTCTGGACGGGGAGAATGACCACAAACTTGTGCTCAGTTCTTTAGCTTCATGGAAGTGTTTAAAAGACCTGATTTGAGTTTTTGAAAGACTTACTTGCATTCAAAAAGAAAAAAAAAGTTCCAGAAACAAAAATAATACCTTTATTCTGGATAACAGCAAAAACCTGTATGTCTTCTTTTAAATTCTTTAATCCTGACTTATTTCATAATGATCAGTAAATACTCCCTCTTGCCCCACAAGAACGGGCAGGCTCTGTGTAAAAGGCTCTTGAGAGTGCAACAATTCAGTTGATAAGTAATGGCCACAAAACACCTTCTTGTTTGGCCTCAATAACTCAATTTAATTGATTTGGCTTTCTAGATTTTTAGCTTAGTCTTCTTCCTATAAGAATTTCTCCAAATTTTAACACAAATCTGAGGTACCAAACAGAATTGGCTGCTTGACAACAGCACACCACAGTGCTACATGAAGACAAAGTGCGTGCTGGATGAAGTTTTCCGAGTGTTCCAGACCCAGCTGAGTTTTGCTTTAGACAAAGAGCCAGGGGAAATGGTGCTACACAGTGAAATCTGCGTCCCCTGGCTCCCCAGAACTTTTCAAAGACAACATCTCATTTGGCTATTTGATGAGTGTAGCTCTGCATTTCTGTTAAATAACTCAATAAAACAACCAAATAATCAGAAAAGAAACTAAGAACAAACAAATAAAGAAAACCCCATTAAAATTATATGAATTAAGAAAATAAAGAATACTAGTTTTTTTTCTTAATTTGGATAGACTGATCACTTCATAAATTAAAAGGAATTTTCAGGTGCTGATTTGGTATTAAAACTCATGATAACTTGTGTTCATTAAAAAATTTGATGACTAGTGTGATTATGTAAATTATAGCTGAAAAAGGGAGTTAAACAGTATCAGTAATTTGGGTAAATTATAAACTGGAATTGTATGTCAACTGAAATTAAGGATTGAGAAATGAATGATACTGTATACCCCAAATTTTGAAATAAAAGAAAAATAAAAAAGGATGAAGCAGGGGAGTATCTTTTAAAATAAAAGCAAAACGTACCATTGGTTGGGTGTCGAGCAAATGAGATAGAAAACCTTTTAACAGCAGAACCGCGTGTGGCGTCTGAGAAAGAGAAAAACAGGTACCTGAAATTCATAACAGCTACCAAAAGAAGGACACTTAAAAAAAGGGGGAAAACAAATATATAAGGACGTTAGTATTAAGTGACATGCAGAAGGGACAATGAGAGAGGTAATAAGCCAAATACTAGTTAAAAGAAGTAAAATGGCTTGATGATAGAGGCAAAGTATTTAATGAAAAATACAAAAGAAAGAAAAAGCAGGATGAGTGGGTAATTCTGATAAATCCATGTTTTACTGACTAAATTTGTGGATACATGAGAAAATATTTTAAATAAATTTAATCCTGAAAAGGCTAACAAACATTCCTATTTACAAAAGGGATAAGCTTATATGAGCTCATGTAATTAAAAAATAAAATTTAAAAAATTCAAAATACCAAAGCTTAAGGTATATTAATGGTAGTGAGAGGATCTGCTTCAAATAGGGGTTCTAAAATAGTCTCACCCGATTTGAGACTATTTTTACAAATATTGCCAATATCATATTTTCTTCTATTTATTATATCAATATCAATAAGTAAAATACGAACTAGCAGTGAACAAAATTTAGAAGATCAGAGAAAGATTTACTTCTTATAATACAGCTTATCAATTATCTAAAAGAGTAATACCCATGATACGGTTCTAAATTTCAGTCAATGAACCACTTATTGAATACGTACTGCAAGTCTAACTACAATGTACTGTTTGATGAAACATGGATCCGAACTGTGGATAACAGACAGCATTGACAGTCATTTAGGCAAAGGGTGCTAGGATTCCACTGGATTCAGTCAATGTCCTTTGTTAAATATTGTATCCTTGTGGGTGTATGCGTGGGTGTGGGTACGAATCTGTGTGCATGTGTGCACATACCATCTATGCAGCCAGAAGAGGTCAGCTTTTTACGATGAGTACGAGCATAATCCTGTAGGTTAGGTGCGCTTGAAGAACCCCCGAGCACCGAGGTGCTAAACAGGCCCGCACAGTGTGACCCTGATGGGAGTTAGAGAAAATACATACAACAACGGGTGTTCTTCCATTCACATTGGGAATTCATGCAGCATGCAATAACATGGCTCTTACCACGCAGATTTGGCTGTGCCTTGAACAGGCTTACAATCACTTGTAATGTCAACTTTAGTCCAATCAGCTACTATTATTTATCATATGTACAAATGAGGGTAGATATTTAACTATGGACAAAATTTTGTCTTTGAGGAAAATAATATGCCCATATAATAGTTAGGTTTATACATATTAAAAGTATTAAAAATACTACCATAACATTAATTTAGGATGATAAAGGATTTTGTCAATCACTTGTATGAACAGGCCATAAGAAAAAAATCTCACCTAACACATATTAAATCAATGTTTTTGGATGTATGTCTTTAAATAACCTTTGCTAATGCCCCTGAATTTAATATTAATATTTGTTATGAAATAACACAGATGAAAGCTTACTTATTTGAGAGAAGACCAGGTGAAAACAATTCCTTTTAGGTCATCCAGGCCTAAATCAGTTTAAACTCCAATACTTAAATGACTCAGATCTTAATAAGACCCCAATGAAATGCATTATTAGTAAATAAAATAGAGTAAAAACTAATAATTTTTAGCAAAAGTCTTCATACCCAAGCAAAACTTTCACTGGATATGGATTAAATAATTCCTAATACATTATAATACATAAAGAAATAAGAAATATATATATACATACGTGTACACACATATATATATATATTTCTGACAAGGTACTATGGGAACATTAAAACTATCAACATTAGCTATATGTAATTAATTAAAGATCTTCAAGTAGGTAGGCATCAACAGACAGTTCATATATTTAGTATAGAGATCATAGTACATACATAGTTAAAACAATTTATTTATGCTTTTATTAAACCTATTTAGACAACTACTTACAGAAAATAATATGGCATAACTTCATATAATTTATCAACAATGAGCTTTAAAACCAAATAAAGTTTAGAGAGGTCTTTTTCAACGTTGCTTTGCTTGAGTGCCAGCAAATACCAATTGTGTTCTATAGGTCAATGAGTAACACTGCCACTGTGCATGAGTTTTGCTTTGGTTTTCCAAAACAGATAATAAAAAGGAAAATTAGTAATCCTGGATAGGCTCTGAAACACTCCCCATTTAATTGTTTTTCATTCAGAAAAGGTTCTTTTTTTTATATGTAATAGCGTATTTTCATCTTTATTGACTGGGCAAACATAAGGTTCCTTCCTAAATTGAAACATGTTGGGATTTTTAACTTACAAAACACAAGATTAAAAATTAGCATTGGCAATTAGACTAAGTAGTTTATACTGTGGGCATTCAGAAGGGTTATAAAACAAAATCAAAGGCTATTTCTTACTCATGTAATTAAAACGTTGTATATTCTGAGCTGTACAACTTGACACTTCTGAATTAGAATACGATAAATAAAAACTAAAGCATAGCATTTGGTCATGCTTTCATCACTGAACGGTTTTACTTGTGTGCAAAATTGTGAGTATTAAGGCCCGGAATTCAAATTTTTCAGACCACGTACCTACAGTAGGGTTCTGCTTCTGTTCCACAAGAGTTCTTGGTGTTCGCAGGTAATTAGCATTTTCAGATACAACCTGCACAAGGAGAGCAGAAGAAATGAGGTAAAACCGTAAAATAAATTAAAAAGTCCATATTTCATTTGCAGCCTGTTCCAGACAGACAAAGGTTAATAAGCTGTATGGTAAATATTAGTAGAAATACATAAAACATGAAAGATCATGCAAGATCCCCTTCTGAAGGGAGTCCATTTCATATGAGGTCCTTGCAATGAAGTGGTTCGAAGCAGGCATTCAAGAATGAAATAGCATGTATGAAGCAAGACAGATGAAAAGAAATAATTAATAGATTGATATAATTTCACTCTCTCTTAAAAGAAGCCAAATGCCCACTCTTAAACAGCTCCTGTATTTGAAGGGGGAAAAAACAATCACATACAAAAGAAAAGACAGACAGAGACTGTTCAGGTCACCATACAATTACTGATCCATGCATGGGCTTATCAGAGTAACCTTTAAATATTCACAGCCTTAATGGATACCATAATCCCTTTTCCTATCATCAAAAGCATTATATTTCCAAAAAGGAAATTGCTGAAATTCTCAGAAAAGTCATGTGTAACAGCAGACCTTTCATTGTAAGTAAACAAACAAACAAAAAATGACAAAAAAACAACTTTAAGTTTCCAAATGTCATCACAGAAAGTCCTTCTGAAGTCATTTTATCTGACCCATATTGTTGATGGGTAGATATACATTGCCCCCTCTTATCTTAAAAAGAATATTAAAAGGACTAAAAAAAAAAAAGCAATGCATGTATCCCTCCATTTGATACTTTCAGATCATGGACTAATCAGTATTAGATGCATCCTGCTAATTAACACAGGGCCTCATAAATTCTGGTATTTAAAAAAGTGTTCACATTCTCAGCGAATTCCAAGTGAAATCTGATTTTTCAATTATGGGGGAAAAGGTATTTTTCTTACTACTGAAGTATATAATATTGATTCTGAATGTTTTATAGGGTAATTAACTCAAAGATAGATTTTATTTTAAGAAATTACTAACAAAAGTACCTGGAGTATAAATTATTAATTTTTAAATCATGGATATTTAAAACCCTTGCAGTAAAAATGATAAACACATGCATTGTGACTTCTTTCCCTCAAATATTATTAGACATTACAAGCAGTTTTAAATAAACTCAAAATTAAAAAAAAAAAAAACAGAAGGATTTACTCTGATGTAAAATATAAGGGATTAGATGTCCTCAAAGATAGCTGTTTGTTGCTCTGAATGCAGGGAGGAAAAATGTTTAATGAAGTAAAGTTTAAAAACCTGTTGCCATGAGCCAAAAATACTGGATGTGAAAGCCAATGATTTGGGGGAGACAGGGGAAGAAGTGATTTGTTCCCCTGATCTGCGTCTTCGACGCCCAGTACCCACACCACTGGTATAATGCAGCCAGGTACCAGTACCCTCTGGGCTAGACACACTCAGGGGGCTCTCTTCCTGGAAGTGAGAAAGGGGGCAAAAAAAAGAAAAAAAAAAGCAGAGCATGCAAAGTTAGATACAACAGAGCCAATGATCAGAAAGAAAAAAAAATACAGTTTGTTTGCTTTTGCTTATCAATTTTTAAAAAACCATTAAAGAGTAATTTGGGAGCCAAATATTTCAATATTTGAGAAACTGATAGGAATGACATAAATCTAATTGTACATAACAATTATAAAAATTACCTTACTGTCTTAGATATATAAAATATATTTATATTGCTTAATAGTTGTCCTTTCCCTCTTAAAATTGAAGAGATTTTAATAATTTTTTATCTTAGTAAACTTCAGAATAGAAAAGAATTCTTTATTTTAGATATTCAAGAAGTCTATGCTATACTGGGTACAGTTTTCAACCCAAAGCATAAAAGAATCATGCAAAGGGTGAAAAGAAATTTCAATGTATAACATGTAGAAAAGAAAATCTGTCTGCTAAACACTACAACAAAAATTAGCCATAAGATGGAGTTGAATGGCACTTCTTTACACTTTTAAGCTATCTGTTTACACCTTCCAAAGATTATTGATAGGGTCCAGTAGGCAAAACATGCAGCAAACATCTTCATTTTACATGTTTGCATGTTCAGGTTTCAGACAGTGAGGACAGAGTAAAATCTACTTGCACAAAATGAAGAGAATAGTCTTTTTCTCTGTGTGTCTTTTGGAAGTACAAACTTCTGATATCCATGGAGATGGCAGACGCTGGAAAGAGTCTTCAAGGTTTTACTTGAATAATTTACCTTATGGAAGTAAAAGTTTAGCATGGCATAGAAATAATCTCTTGAAAGCAACTTTTTAAGTATTTATGAGAAAAAAGTTTATAAATGTGTTCTATGTCTTAATAGTTAACTAAGGGCAGTGATTTTGTTGAAGATTTTAAAAATACAGATTAGTTGCAAAATGATAACTATATTAGTGTTACAGGCTTTCTGCGGAGTGCAGGAGAAGATTTAATGGTGAAACTGAACAATCTGATTAACTGCAGATTGCTTTGTTCAACATCATCAAAATCACTGCTCTCATATAAATGGTAATTTAGGTTATTTTCTAAAATTAAAAAACCTAAACATAACCCCAGGCTTCATAGTTTTTAAGCTATAATAGAACTAATAATCCATGTTATACAATTTTAATCATCCTCTATTATAATTAACATAAAATATCACATTAGTGGAAACCCTACCAGCATACAATTTCCATTTTAAAATTGCAGCAATCTATTATATTCATGGATATTTCTTTTATTAATAATTGTCATATTAGGGCACAAATATTTAAAATTGAAGAATCATAAAGCATTTATGTATGTATAATTCAGGGCTATAGAAATACACATAATCCTTTTTTGTTGTTTATATTCTTACCAACTATTAGGTAATGTTATACTCTTAAAACTTGGTATATATAATTAGCAACAAAAGTATTTTCTAATCAAGAAGTTGATGCTTCTTCTGTTTTAAATTCTTGCTTTATACTTTTACTCAAGCATTTAGAAAACATTTGTAAGCATGGATCTCAATTAAGTTCTTGGCAAATTATCTCACAAAGAATATAAATAATACAAACTAAAGGTATTTAAAGTATAAAATATACACAGATATTAAAGATTTACTTAAAAGCTTCATTCCAACTATTCAACTTTCATTTTAATTGTTATTTTATTATCTATTTAAATACTATTTTATTAGTTAGCATGACCACTAGCTTTAGTTAACTGTAGATCTTAATACAAAGGTAAATTTTTTAAGTATCTCATCAAATTTTCAAATTCCTATATTGATTTTTTCCGATCAGGCTAACAACTTAGAATTTCCTATCTCAATCTACAGTGTCACTGGAATCAGTTGTTACTGAATCATCCCTGGCCATTCCTCTTTACTTTTAACCAAAATTATTCCTGATCCACTATTCAAAAATTATGACTTGCTCCATGATTAAATCTGTATTTTCTTTTCTGTTTTATTAAAATAGTTAGTTTACTTTGTGAAAAACATGCTCTGACACATGCACTTACTTCGTTTGTAGCCATCTTCCTGGATCTTGGCAGGGGCGACTTCCTGTGTATATGAATTGGTTCTGATACCATAGGTTTGAATAATAGTACACCTCGATCAACCTCATCTTTTCTAGAAGTATGTGGTTCATCATCGTTATCAACTTTAAAAGACCGCCTGCCTTCATTCTGTGGAAAAAGAACACAAGATTAAAAATTCAGATAAAAGAACAATCTCTTCTGATGAACAAATTGAACCACCAATTAGTATAGTCACTTAAAATACATTTGAAGAAACAAATTTGTTTCTTCAAATGAATTAATAGGAATTAAACTCTTACAACAGCCTAGTATTATTCTAGGTATTGTGAGACAGAAACAGAGTTTCTGATGTTAAAAAATACATATACTCTATAGGAATTTATCTGAAGAAACTGGAAACACTAATTCAAAAGAACATAAGCACCCCTATGATCACTGCAGTGTTATTTACAATCACCAAAATATGGAAGAGGCCTAAGTGTCCATAAGTAGATAAGTGAATAAAACAAATATGGGATATTTACACAATAGAATACAGCTTGGCCATAAAAAAAGAAGAAAATTTTACCCTTTGCAACATCATGGATGGGTCTAGAGAACATTATGCTAAGTGAAATAAGACACAGAAACAAGTATCACATGATTTCACTCATTTGTGGAGTGAAATTAATGAACAAAATGAACTAACAAGCAAAATGAAGACAGACTCATACAGAGAGAGCAGATGACAGCCCAGGGGGAGGGACAGGGGTTAGGGGGTGCAGAGATAGAGCAAAAAGGAACAAGGACTCAGAGATGTGGACATCAGTGTGGTGATCGCAGCGGGGCGGGGGGGAGGGGCGGGGAGGGAGGGCATAATGGGGATAAATGGTAATGGAAGAAATACAATACAAAATTTTTTAAAAGAAACACACATACTCAATGGAGAAATTAAACAAGAATACAACAACAAAGCTATATAAAACAAGTTGACTAATTAAATTCCATCAAATTCCCAAATAAATAAACAATAATAATAAATAAAGTAAAAAAGCGTAGAGATCAGTTTCATTATACAGGAATGGCATCAACCGAAGTACAATCTAAATTGCGTCTGAATTTATACACTTTATTTATTTTTTAAATTATTTTTACTTATTTTTAATTTTTTATTGTTGTTCAAGTATAGTTGTCTCCATTTTCACCCCACCACATTTTAGAATACTTGAATTCTACTTGAAATATTTCAAACAAATGTGATGACTGCATATATAAGTAACAATTATTTGATCGCTTACTAAATATTTACTAAGTGGTCCCACGTGCCAGGACACAGATGAGTAAGATATAGCCCCACATTGCAAGAATCTCACATTATATAGTACAGGAGACAGATAAGTTAAAAAAAATTATACCAAATATCCATCTATAATAGAATGGGTAAATTGGGGCACAGTCACACAATAAAACACATACTTTAAAGTAGTAAGAATGGACAAACTAAAACTAAATACAATTATATCAATGAATATCATAAACACAGACAAAAGAAGCCAAGCAGAAATAAGTAAATCCCTCATTAAACTAAGTGGTACAGAAAATAAAGAGGAAGGGAATGTCTTTAACTAAGGGATATTGAAAAACCTGAAAAAAATCAACATTTATCAAGTTACTCCATTACCAAAGTGGAATGGAGTAACACATTCCATTTATATTTAATAGACTCTTAGATGGAAACAGAAATGAAGAACAGAATAGATGAATCTCACAAACATAATGAAAGAAAAAAGCCAAACCCACTCTCCACGCCCCAAAAGCATTTATTTTGTGATTACATATGTATAACATTAAAAAATAAGCAAAATTAATGTATGATAATAGGTACATTTGGGGAGAAGACAGGGAGTTGTAATAAGAAAAGGGCATAATTGGGTCTTCTGGAATAATGAGACTGTTCTATTTATGACTTGGCTGGCTGTTTTACAGTTGTGTTGATTTCACATATATCATTAGCATACATACTTCTTTATGCAGTTTTATGAATATGTAATATTACTTAGTAAAAAAGTTTAAACTGAGTACATGTTTAACTTTGTAAGGTTATTATAAATATTAAATGCAATAATCCATGCGAAATGCTTACTACAGTGTTTAGCATGAATTAATCCTCAAGTAAAAGAACCAAAGCTAGTTTTTTTTATCCATTCTAAATGATAATAAAAGTCCAAAATAATCTATATAGAAGATAAAACTCTAAAATACATAAAATGTCCACCCAAATCATACTTTAAAAATGTAAACCATCTTGCCACTTAGTACTTGAGATAAGAATTATAGTACACGATAGAAAATTCTTATAAAAACTTCATGAAAAGCTAAAACTGTAGTAACCAAGCACTGAGTGTTTCATCTTTATTACCTCTCTTGAAGCTGGTCTATATCCATAGCCGGATGGTAGATTTTTATCTTCTTCACACCCTTTGGCTCCTGGACTAAAGTGTAATTCAACATGAAAGCGTTCCTCTGAAGAAAGATCCTAAACAATATCACGGAACATTTTGAAAATGAGAAACTTCAAGCTATTTATTTACCTCAGGTAACACATGAAAATCAAGAACTCTGTTACCTTGTTAGGATCCTCATAAAGCATGATAACAATCTGAGTCATGTAGTTCAGTTCATTGACAACATTTAAATAATCCATAGCTCGTTTCCACTGTTCATCTTTTGATTCCTGAACAAAATATACATGGAAAACATTTTCTCATATTGCATTACATGAAAGTCACTTAACTTTCATTATGGTAGTTTGCTCAGACCTGAGTAAAGGAAGTATATACTAGCATGCACAAATCTTTCAAAATAATTACTACATTTAAGTCTGAATAAATTACCTAAGCTTAAGTAAATTATTTTTTTAAATTCTCATTAGAAGTACTAGAAACTATTGTGGTAACTTAAAAAGGACGTCCAGTCATTATGGCTGTGTACATAAACACACGGTACTGGCATCCTCCCACAACCACATCAAAATTACAAGTCAACTACCGAACAACCATCACTGAGAATCACCTGAAATCCAGCTGGACAGAAATCCTATCACTAAGGATATACAGAAGAAGCCACATTGAGACTGGTATGAGGGGTGGAAACACAGAAAGGGCTGGCTCCGCACCCACATGTGGTGGTTAAAAACCACTAGGGGTATCTCAGCTGCAGAGGTTCACCCCTAAGGAGCCTGAGGTCCCAGCCCCACACCAAGCCCCAGAGCCAACGGTTTCCATGCCTGGAAGACGAGTCCCCAAAATTTCTACCTGTGAAAACCAGAAAGGACTATAGCTGAGTACAACTGAGGGCTTCTGGAGTCCTGAGCATTCCTCTTCAAAGGCCTGTACCTGGACTTACTCAGAATTAGTCCCCCTGAGCTCCAGCACTGGGGCAGCAGCTTGAAAGTCACTATGGACATACAGGGGGAAAATTGTCTGGCTTTGGGGTGAGGGCTGGAGGGGCAGCTTTCTGCTGGATAGACAAGTTGACAGAGGCCATTGTTCTTTTCCTTAGTCTTCCCACCACAGCTGGCAGACAGGTGCCATACCTGAGACCCCATCAACACTGCTCAGCTCTGCTGATTCCCTGAGACCCCATCCCATCCAACTTTCGGGCCCACCCAAGCTGTTTCCAGTAGCTTTTCTATAAAAATGGCCTGTCTTGGCTCATACTGCTGACTTTCCCAGATGCTCTCAAAGGCTCACAAACCTGAAAGAAGCAGCGTCTGGCATAGGCATTCCCTGTGCCTCTTGCTAAGTAGCCCCAGGGTTGGCACTAGTAACAGCAGGACTCAGTGGCAGTATGGCCTTTCCCAGGTACCTCCAAACCCGCACATAAGCAGCCATCTTGGCCTGCACCTTTGGGGAAGCCCCAAAGCCAACTGACTAGGTGGCCAGCTTCAGACCATACCAAAACACCACCCAACCACCACCATAAATGACAGTTGAGTCAAGGAGCAGACTCGGCAGGCACCAGAGCCCTGCTAAAGTGAGTTCTGCCCTGAGTAACAGGTCTCTGCATAGCAGCTCCTCCTCTGTAGGTAACCCAAATGGCGAGATAAGAAACATGTCCAAAATGAAGGGACAGGAGAAATCTCCAGAAAAAGAACTAAATAAAATGGAGGCAAGCAAACTACCAGATACAGAGTTCAAAACAATGGTTATAGGTATGTTCAAAGAACTTAGTGAGAACTTCAACAGCATTAAGGACATATAAACCATTAAAAGAAAACAGTCAGAAATGAAGAGCACAATAACAGAAATGAAGACTATACTAGAAGGAATCAATATCAAATTAGATGAAGAGGACCAAATCACTGATTTGGAAGACAAGGTAGCAGAGACACCCAATCACAGCAGCAAAAGGAAAAAAAAATTAAATGTGAAGAAAAAACATTTTTTTAAGTTTAAGGAACCTCTGGAACAACATCAGGCATAACAACATTGACATTATATGGGCACCAGAAAGAGAAGAGAGAAAGGGATTGAAAAGCTATTTAAAGAAACAATGATTGAAAACTTTTCTAAAGGAAAAGAACACACAAATCAGGAAGCACAGGGAGTCCCAAACACGGTGAACACAGAGGCCCACACCAAGACAAATCATAACTAAAATCCCAAAGGTTAAAGGTAGAGAATTTAAGAGCAGCAAGTGAAAAGTAGTTAGTTACCTACAGGGGAGTTCCCATAAGACTGTTGGCTGATTTCTCAAAAGAAACTTTGTAAGCCAGATGGGATTGACAGGATATATTCAAAGTGATGAAAACATGGACCTAAACCAAGATTATTCTACCCACCAAACCTATCATTTAGAAGTAAAGGGCAGATAAAGAGCTTCCGAGACAAGAAAGAGCTAAAGGAGTTCCATTACCACCGAACTGTATTAAGAAAATGTTAAAAGGTCTTCTTTAAAAAGAAAAATGGAAAAGAAGTATGCACAATAAGATGCCAATAAAGACATATCTGTCAGCAATTACTTTAAATGCAAATGGATTGCATATTCCGATAAAAGACACAGGGTGGCTGAATGTTAAGAAAACAAGACCATTACATATTCTGTCTGTAAAAGACCCACTTCAGATCAAAAGACACACAGAGACTTAAAGTAAGGGATGAAAAAAGATATTTCATGAAAATGGAAATTTTTTAAAAAGGTGGGGTAGCAATGCTTACACCAGATAACACAAACTTTTAAAAAAGATTTTATTTTTTAAGTTTATATTTAGAGAGAGAGGAAGGGAAAGAGAGAAACATCAATGTGTGGTTGCCTCTCATGTACACCCTAGTGGGGACTTGACCTGCAACCCAGGCATGTACCCTGACTGGGAATTGAACCAGGGACACTTTGGTTCTCAGCCCGTGTTCAATCCACTGAGCTACTCCAGCCAGGGCTTAAAACAGACTTTTTTTTAAGCATCAGCACAGTCGCCTACTACCCACAAATTATGCAGTTGTGTTTCCCACATTGGGAAAATTGCCAGGGTTACCATATCGAGAGCAATGGATAAACTTCAGCCTGGGAAAACCACCTTCATGATCATAGTCATGATCATATGTACCTGGTATGTATCAAAACAGACTTAATAAAAGGGCTATAACAAGAAACAAAGAAGAACCCAGCAATTCCACTTCTGGGTATTTACCCACAAAAACCCAAAACACTAAATCAAAAAGACATATGCATCCACACGTTTATTGCAGCATTATTTACAATAGCCAAGATGTGGAAACAACCTAAGTGTCCATCAACAGATGAATGGATAAAGTGGTGCATATGTACAATAAAATATAATTCCCACATAAAAAAGTGAAATCTTGCCATCTGCAACAATATGGAGAGACCTAAAGGGTATCGTGCTGTGTGAAATAAATCCAACAAAGAAAGACAAATGCCCTATGATTTCACTTACATGTCCAATCTAAAAACAACAACAACAACAAAAAACTAGAATAAATGAACAAATTGAATAGAAACAGACTCATAGATACAGCGAACTGTTTGATGGTTGCCACTTGGGAGAGGGTTTGGAGGGGCTGGGTGAAAAAGGTGAAGAGATTAAGAAGTACAAATTGGTAGTTTTGGAACAGCCAAGGGGACATCAGTAGAAGGAAGCCTATGTAGATTCTATTATTATTACCATACCCACCACTTCTCAATCTTCATTTAGATAATCCCTTATCTTTAAACATGTAATCATAAAGCAGCAGAATTAAAAGGGATCTTAGATAACATGTACTACACACATTCCAAGTAGAAAATTCTACCTGAAAAGATAAAACTACTCAAAGTCCAGAGTCTATAGTTAATAGTCAACAGGGTCTACTCAGACCTCATGTACATCACAGACAACTTGTCTTCATCTGTCATAAACATCACAAATATGTAAAAGTATCCAACACTTTTTGTATACAGTAAATATATATTTTTACTTTAGTATGGAATGTGTCTTTTTTTAAGAAACAAAATTGGATATCCCAAAACCCAAATGTACAGGACCACATGCTGATTGCTTATTTTTTAGAATTTTAGCATATATTTCCTTTTTAAATTCAGATGTTATACATTCCTAAGGAAGCATTCCCCTTTTGAAATTTTTAAAGGGCAAAATTAAACCAACATCATGTAATTTGTGTAATTATATGTATTCTTAGCCTCATTTCAACAAATGGCTATTCACATTTCTAAGTGCTCTAATGTCAACCTAAGCAACACTCCAGAGCAAAAGCTGCATGTGCGTGTGTTGCCCGTGGTTGGGGTGGAGACATGTGCAAAGGTATACAAATGTGTTTTTCCAAAATTGATGAGAAAAACATAAATTAGCACAGCATTACTAAGTTTCACTAGACGATGAATCACTGTAAATGATTTAAATTAAGTACTAAACATTTTCAGTAGTTGAAAAGATCTATTAGACTTTGTGATACTACATTAATAAAAACACCATCTATTATCTAATTTAGTGTTACAGTTATTTTGTTGGGTTTGTTTTAATGAACAGATAAAATTAAATAATATTTAGTAACATCCTCCTGAATACAATTAATATTAAAGAATTCATAAAAATATTTTTAAATTAAGGCTCACTAAATACTATATATTCCCTGAAATACTGCTTACAATCTTGTTTCCTTAACAAAACTTAAAAAAAAATCTATTATGGAGTGATAGATTTTATTTAGTCCACACTGAAAAATCAAAACTTTTCAACTGGGAAGATACTGAACAAGGTTTTAAGTCTATTAGTTATAGGGTCTTATAAGGGCAATATGGGTTGGGGTGATTACAGTTTAAATAAATTAAAAAAATAGAAAACAGGACATCATTTTGGTATACAGTTTAATTTCTACTTTAGTAAATGCATGTAACTTTTTAATTTTGGAAGCAGTGATTTGTACAAGAATGGAGTTAATTCACTTTTGTTTTTTAGAAACACAGCCAAAAACAATGTATACTCAACAAGCCCTGGTTCTAACTGCCACCACCTTAGTTCAAACTATAGCACCGGTCTTTAGATCACTGTGCTAACTTCCTAGCTTATATCCATTCCCATGTACTATTGTTCACACAGTAACCAAACACACTTACTTCCCTGCTTAAAGCTTTTCATTGGCTTCCATCCCCTTAGGATGCTCAAGGCACTGGCTTTCCAAACTTACCTGCTGCCATTTATCCATCACTCATCATTATGTTCCAACCGCAGGCTTTCAATTGGTTCCTATACCCTGCACATTCTTTTCACCTTCTAAGTAAGTGCAAAAGGGTCAAAATGGCACCATGTAAGGGATATATCCCTCCTTTCAAAAACAATTCCATCATTACTACTGAATATATAATCCCTTGCCTTGCTAATTACAGGTCATTTTTCTTCACCCACTATTTGTTTTATTAAAGCTCCACTAATCTACATATGTTAAAAGGGACGTCACTTTACACTCCTTGTTGTGACAAAGAAAAAAGAAAACAAGAAGAAAGAACATATGAATGGGAAATCTACAGGAAGAGAACTCTGAAATAGTCTTTGGATAACTTGGATAATCACTATTCATCAAGGCCCAATAAGATAAACTAAGAATCGAGAGACATATACCAAATCTTTACATATTTTACAGCCTTTTATTTAAAAAGTACAAAAGAAAACAAAACTGAATTTTCTTTTAAAGATTACTTTTTGAAAATAGATGTACATATGTGTGTATACTGGTATATACATAGAAAATTAATGAAAAATTCTTATATTTTGCTAGTTTAGATATGGTTGAAAAGATATTTTTGATACATAGTAGAAGAACTGACATTATATTCTAGATAATCTATGGTTTGACTATGCTGAGAAAGGGGATATTAAAACTTATGTCTCTTTAATACAGATCAGTTCCATTGCCAATCCCCAAAATGTCATTTTCTTTATTTGCTCAAACACTCCCTTGTTGTCTTGTCAACAGCCATTACATCACTATCATTAATATATTTGCATCCCAACTCCATATATTCAACCTCCAACTCTGCCCTCACATAGGAACATAGTACTGGTTATCTTCACTTGACTAGCCTACTAGTCCCTCAAACTCAACCTAAAACTAAACTCATCACCCTCCTTCTAATATCTGATCTTCCCCCCACATGTGCCTTATGTCAGTGAATGATAAGATCGTCTACCAAGTTACCCACATTACACATATGGGAACCTTTCCTGGCTCTTTTCTTTCCCATCTTCAGTACCTGTAATCCCTAGTAGGGCCTTGAGGAGAATGTGTGTGAAAGTTAAGGGATCTCCTTCTGCCTGTCATAAACTATGAGAGAAGAGAGATAAGCTACAGGGAAATTGTTAACTATAAAGGAGCCGAGAGTTCCTGGGTTAAAAACATACAACTGGTTCTCATTCCTTGCCTCCTTCTCATTCCCTGCCTCTCCAGAGAGCAAACAATGCTATAATTAAAAGTAGCAGTAATTTCTAGGAAAAAAGGAAACATAAGAATCTGTCTCGGAAACATGGATGTGATATTAAAAAGATTTTCTAAGACCTCAGAAAGATTTGAAAAGATGCTTCACGGATGTTTCAAAGACACAAAAGACTTTTCCAGGATCTAATGAGCATGTTTCTCAGATGCTCACTATGAAGCAGTAAGGATTGCGGAGTGCTGTCCCTCAGTAACCACACTGAGAGCCCAACACAGAAGAGCGCTCATCCTTAAGGAATCTGTGGGACTTGTTTAATGAATTAGTTACTGTTTTGTCTTATTTATGCAGTATCTATGCACGTTTACACTGTCTTGAACTGGAAATAAATAAAACTTTGGATCCCAAACTTCCTTGGGCAGGAAGCAGGTTGAAGAAAATTACTGAGCTGCAAATATGAACTACTTTTTATGAAAAAGGGATGGCCCAGATGGAGCAATCAAAAACCCAAAGCACGTAGCCACAAGCTACTGTACACAACTCCCTGGTGGCAAGTCAGAGCCCTGATTAAGGAATGGGAACATGTACCAATGTACACCTCACATTTGCGATGGACCAGGGACTATAGTGCACCGTCTGTTTTCCCCTCTTCTGGGAAGGTTATCCACAGCAGTAATGCTATGCCTGTCCCACCATTGTAGGTTGGGTGTTTGAAGGACAGATCATTGGTCTCTTTAGTTCGCAGGTCTATTCTTCAGCTTCTTTTTATCTGACTGCCACCAGCCTATAACACCACTTAAAATATTTTATATGATTGTTGTTAAATGGGTATTCTCCAATGTAAAAGAAAATGTCTCTATCCCCAACCTCTAGCACAGTCCTTAGTATATAGTAGGCCCTTGACAAATGATAGTAAATAATAAATTATTAAAATTACACAGTGAAAGCAGTGTTAAATCTAACTACAAAATCAAGGAAACATATTTGTTAAGCAGATTGGAATAACCCATTCTACTTACGTTGCATAAGGCACCATAACGAAGAATGGATAGTAGAGAATGTACATGACTTTCACTAGTGAAATATAATCTGGTACGGACGTGACGTTCAGGGGACAGAACACCCCTGGAATACCTAAAGTTAAAAGCAGACAATGTTAAAACATAACCATACAGTCAAAACTTATCAAGTATTAAAATTATTATGTAAAATGGGATTAATCTTACTATAGGTAAAAAACCATAATAAGTAAATCTATCAGTCTTCCCACTAGAATTGAGGAATTACCTTAGTAGATATTCCTTTATCATGAAAATAATTGGAACTAATTGGGACCTCTAAGATTAGCCAGAGAGTTAATATTAGTCAAGTTCACTGTCAATACATCATTGTAGCTCCTTTACTAATAATGACAGAGGTCAGAGTCCTAAAGAAGCTCACAGATATTCACGCTGCTGAATGAGATACATGCTGAATAATGTGAATAATGAAATACATTCCCTTTCTCTTTCACTTCAGTTCCCCCTGATTTGGAGAGAAAAAGAGCCCTGATGGGAAGTTAACTACTGGGAACAGCTAGGCAATCCTTATTTCCAGTGTGCCAAGTGACACACTCCTGATTTCACAGGAACGTTAAAAAGTGATTAGATTTGAAGTATGCAAAAATAGATGCCTATAAATTTAAATACCAGTAGAATTTCTTACACAGGATGGAGTTTATTCACAGTGTCATCATCTTGTGTCCTCTGAAGGTCTGAGCGAATTTTTCTAACTAGAGGGGTACAGTAGCCTTTGGCAATCTCCAGCTTTTCAGCTTTGGTTATTCCATATTCCTGAGCAGAAAATACACAATGTTAGACAAAAGGGTATAATGCCAAAGAGCTTTAACAAATGCACTGCTAAATTAAAGAACTCTAATAAGCCTTTTCTGAACACTATACAACTCCAAGTTTACCTGTCTGCTATTGTTTAAGTGTGCTATACCCAAAGCTATTGAGTGTAATTGAAAGAATTTTTGGTGGAAATAAAAAAACAAGTAATTTCTGAAGAGGGAGAATGAAAAGATTAATGTAATCTTTATGGGGTGTAGTTCAACTCAATTGGCAAGTTTCAAATATAGAAACAACCCTAAAAGAAAGGTGGATTAAGGACATAAACATTAAAGCACAGAACAAATAGTCAATAAACATATGAAGAAATATAAATAAAAAGTGAGATTTCTGTCTATTTAAATGTCAGAAATTAAGATGGCTAACAAATTATTTAAAATAATTGGCCAATGATTTTAAAGTTTTAATTAGCGGTGAGCAAAAAATGCCATGAAATTGTCAAATTTCACGATGTCTATAATTACTATAGGTTAATTAAATTTATAATGAGAAATTATAATGTGAAGTATCAAGAAGACATATTAACTGTAATCATAATTGTGATAAAAATTACAATTCAAAAGGATGGACGGAAAAGATGATCAGATAGGAGAAAAGAAAAATCTGTAATGAGTGTGTAGATGGAATGATGGGAGAAAGGAAGAGGCAGAAAGTGAGGGGGGGAGGACAGAGAGGGAAAGAAGAGAAAGCAGAGAGAAGGAGAATGAAATCGGTGTACTCTCTCTCCAAGGACGATCTGGGACACCTTAATTTAAAGACTACTTCCTGCTATCAGCTACCTCCTAGAAGGCTGAACATAAATATGAGTACCAGACCTCAAGACTGCCTAATAAAGAAAACGCTGACTGATTACAGATGGAAGACCTATGAAAACACAACTTCTTGGGGTCTTTTCCCTTAAAATAATGCTTTGTTGGTTCAATAATCTAGCCAACACAGGTGACTGCCAGTTAGGTATGCAAAAGGTATATAAAAGTAATAGTGTATGTATAAGTTAACAAAGGAAAATGCTGGAATTAAAAATCATCAGAAAAAAATCTTTGTTGTTGCTGGCAAGGCATGAGGAAATAGATACTCTCAAACACTGCTTATCCGGAAAAAAAATGGTAAAGTATTTCTGAAGGTACAGAAGTAGTCTTGAGTATGTATAAGGGTTTAACTGTTAAGAAGAATGAAAGAAATTTTAAAAATCCAGATTTCCAAATATAAAACATGGTAAATAAGTTATTATTACATCACACCACTCTGTCATTAGGAATAATGATATATTTATAGCTTTACTGATATGAAAAGTTCTCGATCCTAAGTAAAGAAAAAAAATCAGGTCGTAAAACATTATGCTTTTCCTGGTTCTATTTTTACAAAGAATACATTTGTTTAAATACACACACATAGGTGTATGTGTATATTTATATAAAATTTATATATATATTTAAGTAGACATATATATGTGTATATATATAAATTTAAGAGAAAAACTGTATCTGCATGAATTTAAGGGCAAAGGCCTTTAAAAAATTTCCAAAACATTAAAATGCTTTTCTCTAGTTGGTAATGTCATAGTAACTATTTTTTCCTTTATCTACATTTTCTAACTTTTCTTATATTACTTCTATAATAAAAGTAACTTATCATTTCAACAGTGACATGTTCATCTGCCACCACCAACTAGGACCAAAAATTGTTATACATTCAAGTTCTCATATGTTATTAACAATGTTTCTGCCATAAATAGAATGATAAAAATAACAGATGAGACTATCTGAAAGCTTATTATATGATGATATTTAATGAAAGTATCATTGGAATTTATATGGCAATACTATTATAAAGCCTTTGTATTTCATAATCTACAAATAACTAAAGAACTCGTCTTTGAATTTCAGTAAGTATGTGCTATCTCAGAAAAGAGAATCTTAACACCAAATTTAGTCTTTAGATGTTCTTATCTATTGTCATACCATCACGATTATTTTAAAGCATCATTTTTAAACAATGGCTTATATTTTCTAAGCATTGAGACTGGTTAAAAAATAAAAAGCAAAAAAACCTATCACAATTAAATACAGTTTAACTTAAAATAACTAAAAATAATAAGCCTTGATTGTCAAAAATAAGCTTAGATACGATTAGATTTACCTAATTTGCATTGCATAGATATATGAATTAATTCAATATAAGAATGGAAATATACTTTTTAATCCTCACCCAAGAACATGTTTAATGGTTTTAGAGACAGAGAAAAGGGGAGGGGGAGAGAGGAGAGAGAGAGAGAGAGAGTCAGAGAGACATACAGATATTCATCGATATGAGAAACACTGATTGGTTGTCTCAAAAATGCACCCCAACCAAAAATCAAACCTGCAATCTAGGTACTCTGATCAGGGACTGAACCCGCAACCTCTTGGCACATGGTACAACATTCCCACCAACTGACCACCCAGCCAAAGATGGAAACAAACTTCTACAGATGCAGAGCAGCACTTTGTACACCGGAACACATGTATATACACTTCTCTTGCAGAGACAGTGACAGTCTCTTAATCTAAATTAATATATTCTAACCAAGTCAAAATTTCACATTACTGACCCAGCCATCAAGTCTCTAGACTTGAAATATTCTTTATTTGCATGAAAATTATCCCTTTATCCACTGGGGACACACTCCAAGACCCCAAGTGGATGCCTGAAAACAGTACCAAACTCTTTGTATATCCCCTATACGTACATACCTATGATAATAAAGTCTAATTTATACATCAGGCACAATGAGAAATTAACAATAACTAATAATAAAATAGAACAATTATAAAAATATACTGTAATAAATGTTACGTGAATGTGGTCTGTCAAAATACCTTATTGTACTGTGCTTGCCTTTTCACGTAAAGGAAGCACTACACACTTCTCTTTGGTATACCTGAACTGCCAGCATCACTACCCTTGTACTTTCGGACCATTAGTAAGTAAAATAAGGATTGCATGAACACAAACACTGCAATACAGTGACAGCGGATAACTGAGGTATCTACTAAGTGACTAATGGGTAGGCAGCAGATACAGTGTGGATATGCTGGACAAAGGGATAATTCACATCCTGGGCAGAAGTGGGTGGGACAGCATGAGATTTCGGCATGCTACTCACAATAGTATACAATTTAAAACACATGAAATGTTCATATCTGAAATTGTCCATTTAATATTTCTGGACCATAGCTGACCATGGATGACTAAAGGCACAGAAAGTGAACCACCGCAGATAAGGGGAAGGGGGGACTATTGCATGTAAAATTTTCATTTTCTTCTACTTTAAACTATAGTGTCATTATAATTACTATAAATGTGTTTATAGTTCTAAATTATTTGTTCAGGGATTGAAAATACCTGCATTTTTGTCCATGGCTTTGGATTTATGAAGTCTGAAGACAACACAAAATAATATTACTGAACTGAATTCAAGGTTCCATTTAAAAAGTAGAAATCTCAAGTTTCTGCCACAATTAGGAGTATCAAACCCAAAAGTTAGGAAGGTAAATCCCAAGTTGTCTACTCTTCAATTCATAATCTCTGAACTTCAAGAAAGCGTATAAAGAGACCTCTACTTTTAAAGTTATTAATGTACCAAATTATGAATTTACTCAAAATAAGATTTTGATTCCTGGAAGCTTAAGCATAATATTGTCTGAAGATTCCCAAGATTTCAAAGTTAAATAGTTTATCAAAGAAAAATAATTTTGGAGATGTCTTCAAATAAGTTATCAGACTACTGTAAAATTTAGTGTAATAGCATTAAAGGATAATTGTTGTAATACAGATGCAGAACAGGTGAGAATTACAAATTAACTTTAAAAGATACATATTATGTTTCAAATCCTTCCTAACTATTTTAATCTTTAGTGTTTTTCAGATTACGATTCTTTAAAATTTTCATTATAAATATTAAAGTTACAAGGAGGTTGTGAGAAATTTCTTTAGCTATCTAAGCAATATACTGGAAATACATACACACAAATTGGAAGAAATTATCTAAAATCCCACAAGTTTGTAATGCTCACCTGACAGACATTTACAAAGTGTCTACTGGTCACTGAAAGAAAACTGACTGCTAGGAGCTACCTACCTGAGGGATAACAATATCTGCTAATGCCTTCGAAAGCCTATATAATTCCATTGTATTTTCTAATTTCAAGGAACCGTTATGCTGGACGTCATACTTTATGCAGTCATATATGTCAGGGATCTTACTAATGTCATATCTTCCATTCTTTGTTTTAAAGTCTTTCTCCAACTTGGACCATCTACGTAGCATAAGCTCTAATGTTTCACTATGGTAAAGCTGAATATCTAAAACAACATAAAATGTTTTAGTCAATTAAAATAAAAAAATCATGATGAATATATGCTAAAAGTTGATAATCAGAAACTTTTTTGAAAGTCAAAGATACAATTGTTAAGAAGCTAGGAAATGTTCCATAGGTATATACAATTAACAACCACAGATTTTGTAGATGTGAATAAAGGTATCAATACATCGGTTAAAAACTGGGTTTATAAAAGACTTCCGTATGTCATACACTTCAATAACAACAACAACAACTATAACACAACTCTTTTAAACCAATACATTTTCAATTCTGAATTTTAAGTTACTTTAGATTATTAACTATTTTTATTACATTCACATAACTAACAGAATAGACAGTCATTACCAGAAAGAAACCTTAAAAATGAAACGATTCAAAGGATCCACTTTTGCTAGCAAGCAACCCCAGATTCTTAAGTTGCCCAAGTTATTAATGAAGCCAGTCTCAGAGCCAGAGCCCACATCGCCGTCCTGTTACTTGTACATTATTACGCTGCCTGTGTGACGTTCCACTAGCTATATGGCAATGCTACAGAACTAACCAAGCAAGAATGTTTTTCTCTTTCATGCTATAATAGAAAAAAAAGCAACTATAACTTAACTATTATTATTTTGTTGGATATATATAATTCATACCTATATGTAAGGCTTTATTTCTTAAATTAGTGCATCTTATTTTTAAATGTTTGCAGTACCTGAGTAGTAATTTTTATTTCTCTTATGCTCTAAGAAAACCATAATATTTACCTGATGATTTGGGATCTTCCATGCGATGTCTGATTTGTGAAGTCAAACTTTGTATCAAGGAATAAACTTTGTCACAGGTCTTCACAGGATTTTTAATTAAATGCATTGATTTAATAAGAGAAATGCTTCCAGATGGAGTAAGCTACAAATGAGTAAAGTATGTATTTTACATCTATTTATGCACAATTGCCCAAGAGAACAATAAACAGAATTTCCCAATAGCTGCAGAATAATTTCATACCACAAATTAAGATGGCCCACAGAATACAGTAATAAGATAAAGGAGGAAATAAAAACCTTGGAATTTCATGTTAAAAAAATAAAATCTTAGCTATCATGAGATTATCTACAGAGAATAATAGAGCAGAAGTACTATAACATACAATGACATTTTATTCTAACTTACATCAACAAATTGGTGACATAATATGAACAAATATGGCTCTAACCATTTGAGATATATTTACATGCAATAATGCTAAGACTCTATTATCATCTTTTTCCAGTTGAGGTACCTACAGTTTAAGCCCAAGATCAAACCACTAGCATGTGAAGAGTGGGATAAAAAGTGGATATGAAGCTAGTGCTCTTAAACACCATGCTAACCCTCTTATGATAAGATTTTTACAAGTCAACAAAAGTCATTAATGACAACATAGTTTTAAATTCTAGTTTTGATGCTTGGCTTGGGAAGTTATTTAACCCCATCAAATAAGTTTCTACAAATAATTAAAAAAATTAAAATAGAATTTCGCTTTTCTTTATGGTGAACTAGGTAGTTTAACCATAAAGAAATCATTGTAAATAAGTAAAAATCCTGGGCAAAAAACTTCTATATTTCTGCTTTAGGGTATGTGAGAAATAATATAATAAAGAGCAATAGAACCAGAACCCATACAGAGAGTGATTCTGGTTTAAGGCTATTTCTGCACTGGAGACATTTGTTGATCTAGAACAGACAGCAGAGGAGTACAGCTTTCATAGTATTGTTAGATTAAGGGAACAAAAGTAAAGTCCAGCATTCCCCAAGGTGGAATGGTGGTAAACTCTCTACATTTAAGGTTCAAAAAAGTGAGGGTAAATCAGAAGCAAACCAGCCCACCAACGAATGGCAGGTCAGGTTCAGGTCCATTGTTCACCCTGAAAAATCTGTTCTGAAACTAGATTAAAGCAATTCTAGATTGCTATGTCCATGGCACATAACAGGAACAAATAAAAACATCTTATTGGAAGGTAGTAATACTTTATTTATTTCCACAAACAAACATAATGTCCAACTGTAATTAAAGACATCCAGGCGCACAAGAAAACTGAACATCATGAATCTCAATCAGTAGAACAGACAAAAGAAAAGGAACCAAAGAGATGCTAAGTAATTATCAAAAACTAAAAAAGAAACTTCCCATGTTCAAGGGGATAAAAGAAAATATTGGAAATCATCAAAAATCACAATATTATATATAAAAAGAAGCCAACAGAAATACTGAAATTGGAAAATACACTGGCTGAATTTATTGCACATCAGATACAGCCAGAGATAGATAGATTTACAGTAGTTCCAAGATTTCATTGATAAAAACGGCGCGCCAAAACCAGCCCGGGTCAGGGAAGGCACCATGCCCCCAAAAGAATAAATGCATAGAGACAAAAGAATAAAAAAGATTTTTTTAAGATAAGAGAGAAGAAAGTTCCAGCAAACATACATGTGCAGAGATCCAGAAGAAAGTAACAGAAGCAATACTTAAAAAAATAAAAAATAACTGCAAAGGACACATGGACAAAACCAAGGAGGAGGGTGGGAACAAGGGAGGGAGGTGGGTCTGGCTGGGGTGGGGAGGAGTTGTGGGGGGAAAATGCAGACAACTATAATTAAACACACTGAATAATTTTTTTAAACTTTTAAGTAAATAAATAAATAACCCTTTCCAAAACTGAAACCAAAGATCCTATAATCCTATTAAACTATTAGCAGAATAAATTAAAAAGCAGTTTACTTCTAAGCATAAAAGAGAAAAACTGCTAAAAACCAAAGATAAAATAAAATGTTAAGTAGCCAGAAGGAGTTATTTACAAAGACAAAGAAATTATAAATAGTGCACAAGATCAAGAGATAACTTCCCAAAGTAAACATTGGAAGCTAGTAAAGCAACATATTTTTTAAAAATTTCATTTATTTATTTTTAGAGAGAGAGAGGAAGGGAGGGAGAAAGGGAGAGAAACATCAATGTGTGTGGTTGCCTCTCATGTGGCCCCCCACTGGGGCACTTGGCCTGCAACCCAGGCACGTGCCCTGACTGGAAATCGAACTGGCGACCCTTTGGTTCCCGGCCTGCACTCAATCCACTGAGCTACACCAGGCAGGTGCTAAAGCAACATCTTGATGCAATGAAAGAAACTGCCATTCTAGAATTCTATACCTAGTAAAAAAAAAAATCCTAAGAGTAAAGAGTAAAGTTGAACTAAAAACATCTTTGCACCAAAAAAAAACACCCATAAAACAAAACAATAAAAAAAGGAATTTACCACCAGTAGACTGGTACTAACAGAAAGAAAATTATGTTAAATGGAAACTCTGAAATTCAGAAAAGAGTAAAAGGTAATTATATAAAGGGCACATTCATAGGTAAATCTAAATAAATATTGCTTGAATAAAAGAATAACAACAGTGACATTGTGAAGCTTAACACACACAGAATGAAAATAAACAATATTATTGCAACAGGTAAGTATTCTGGATGTCATCAGAATATGAGAAAGAGCAACATAAAAAGTCAGGCTAGCAGCGATTCCTAAGAGAGGGCATTGCATAGGAGTGCATAGGTGCTAGAGTTGTTCCAATGTTCTATTTCTCTACCTGGATGGTGAGACTTACATGAGTATTTGCTTTATAATACAATAAAGGCTAAGTTTATGTTTTCGTACTTTTCTTTGGTGTGTATAATATTTTACACGTAAAAGAGTTTGCTAAGACCCACCTTTTCATAATCTTCTGCAGTGAAATCTCTATCTTTCTGCAGTATTTCATGAAGTCTTGCTTTCACACGCTGCTGACAACTGCTCAGGGAGTCGCTGTCGCTGTCCAGAAGACCATTCATGTTTGCGCTTTTTACCATCTGAACAAGAATGGGGGTAAGCTCTCCTTCGAGTGCCAAGAGCCCCTAAACACATTAAATACAGCCAGCACAGATTTAAAGTTAGTATGTGAAACAGAAAATATCATAACTTTATTAATAATACAGTTTATCACTGCCATTTCAGGGCTTTAGTTGGAAATTTCAGATTTGGAAACTTAAAATATTGCCTTAGTAAAAATATGAGAAAATGCAGTATTAGATGAAAATTCTACTAGTTCTAAAAACAGAGATGTGTACCTTTGCAAAAGCAGCTGCAGTCATCTGCACTCGTCCTTCATCAGAGGCATATATTTTGAGGTCATGCCGGTAGGTACTATGTAATCTAAGTAAACCACAACCAGGAAATCCTGCATAATCTCCTGAAAATAAATCCTCAAATCACTTAAGCTATATTTTCGTTTCACTGTATTTCTATAAATATTTAATAAATCTCAAGATAAGTGAAAGACTTGAAAATGCAATGTATAAATTTAACCAAATTAGAGAAACTCCAAGATTTACCTTGACCGCCAGGATACATACACCTGAAAGCTCTTCCAAGTTCTTCGGCCTGGACCCTGCCTGCAGGGGTTAGTTCTCCTCCCCATTTTAGAACCAAAAGTAAGGATGGTTCTTCTCTTCGGCTGTCTAAGGTACATGTGAATGGATAAAGCAAATGTCAAATTTGTTTCTTTTAAACAAACATATTTCAAGATTTTTTTTTCTTTGTGGTCTCTTCTGCGGTGGAATATGGTCCTTATGTATTATATTGTTCCTTAAATGTACCTCTCTTTGTAGGCTGTTGCTTCTGTCGGAAATACCGAATTGTTCCACCAGTTAAAATCTTCCTAAAATTTCAAAATGTCCTCCCCACTGTAGGAATAAAACCCCCAGTTTTCTGAAAGGAAGTATTGCTTCTTCCTTCACTGCTCTCACAGTGGTATGGCGACAATGGTACTTGCTCAAAGCATTGAACTGTGCAGCATTTGCTAGATTAAGAGTTCCTGATGTCCAGGGAACTCTTTATGTCAAGAGGTGAAGTGAAGACGGTGTATTCCTTTTTTGTGATGCATAACCCTTAGGAAGACGTAAGATCATAGAACTTAATATTTATTGTAATTTACATTTATGGGTGTGATAAACAAAAAATATAGCCAAGAGCAGATTTTAAAATTGACTTGTGAAATGTTTAATAACTTCTGTACATCTAAAACTAATATAATATTGTAGGTCAACTGTAGTTTAAAAACAAATAAAAATAAAACTTGGAATTGTAAAATCTCTGTATTTCCCAGACCGAGTATTTTCTTAGATTTTAGAGGAGGTAACATAAGACAGTGAGTTTATATTTAATTTTGACTTGCCCTTTATCATGCCTAATATCTGTGTTCTTTTACAGAAACAAAGGTAATTTAAAAATAAACAATACAAGTGCTAAACAACTTCACGATGATGCACTACAAGGGATATAACATCACTCTTTCCCCTGGGGCTACTTAACAGTTACATGTGCTTTACCATGAAAAACAGTATGAATTTATGACTCTTTAATTTACGGAATGTTTTTTAATCATAAATATTACAATATAGGAAATTAAGCTTATTGTTATTAGTTACCAAGTATGCTAAGAGAAGAACATCAAATTTTAAAATATATAAAGATCAAAATAGTTCGACTTCAGTTTCTGTGTAAGATAATCATTTCTTCAACTTTTGTTAGTATAAATAATACCACTTTGAATATCCCAATAGATCAATCTTACTCTAATATCTGATTACTCCCTTAGGATAGATTCATATAAGCAAAATTAAGGTCAAAGCATATAAACATTTTTTGAAGTTTCTGATATACGGATATTGACAAATCACTGTTCAAAGAGTTATGTCAATTTATCCTCCTACAAATAGACTAAAATCCTGCCACATTATATTCTCATCAGCACTTGTTATCACCAGTTTGAAAAGAATAAAACAACCTTGCCAGTGTGACAGACAAGTGGTTATTGTTATAACTATATGAAGTTATTGGGGATATGCATTTCTCCATGAAATAGCTTCTCTAACCTCCAGCCCTTTTTCTTTTAAAAGGTAAATGCATTCATGGACTTCTGCTGACTGCTCTTAGAAGTTTAATTGTATTTAATACTTATTCTAATTTACTGGGTGGGAGAAAATATCTATTTTACTACATGTTGATTCTGTATTTTTTCAAATAGTCTTTTCATACTTTTTGAGCTTTCATCTTCTTCTAGCAAAAGAGGAAAAGGCTCATTAAATAACATTTAGTTATAAATAAATAAGCTTTCTGAAACAACCCCTGAGTAATAGGAAAGTCCTATCAGTTATCAAAATAAGGAAATCTACACTTTACTTAAAGAATCAAGAATAAAATCTATACTTTAGATAGAAAGCAATTAACTGAACTCCACTAAATAGCATGCCAGTCCTTAACTATAGACAGAACTACTAGACAGAAAGGGTCCAAATGTAATCAACAATGAGTAGGAAGTTCCTACATGTAATTAAAACACAGTAAGTATTAATGACATACCTTCCTCCTCACTAGATGTTTTAGGACAACCATGAGGGAGATAGGTTAATTGTACCTTACGATTTATTCCAGAAAAATGGCCATACCTGTAAAATAAAATGGCAAACAGAATGAACAATATTCAGGAAGTATTCAATATGACTTCCTAGAGAAAAACTAAAATCCATTCAGAGAAAAAACTAAATCTTACATATTAATGCCTCCTGCTTTTTGTAATTACGTTGTTGAATTCTTCAGAATACCCTAGGAAAATAGCTGTACCATAGGCAGTCATTCTAACCACCATAAAAATGAAAATACAAAAAAAGTTTCTCTACAAAAGTTAGCTTTGGATAACAAAAGTGAAGAAATATATAAAAATATGAACTATGTGTCTTAAAAAGATAAAGAAAATAAGAATTTAAGTGGTCAAAATTGTGTAGCTTTTAATAGGAATACTGGTGGTACCTACTTGACCTGATTAAGACATAGTTCAAAATTATTATTATTATTATTTAGATTTTATTTATTTATCTTTAGAGGGGAAGGGAAGGAGAGAGGGTGAGAAGCATCAACCTTTCGTGCGTCCCCTGCTGGGAACCAGCCTGCAGGGAACCAGCCTGCAACCCTGGTATGTGCCCTGACTGGGAATCGAACTGCGATTGTCTAGTTCACAGGCCCGCACTCAATTCACTGAGCTACACCAGCCAGGGCTTGAAATTATTATTTTTTAAAACAGCGTTGAATCTGTGGTCAAGTGGGCAATGTGTACTTCATCTTAAGTAGTACCTCAGGGAACATCCAAATTTGATGTCATTTTTTTCATCTCATTAAAATTAAGAGTAAAACTAAAACAATAACTACCAATATAATATGTTTTCTCACTGGTGAAAATAAAAATCTCATTAGCCTTTCACTAATGTCTCCTCAGCTACAATGATAAAAACAAAAAGATCAAACTGTGAAGGAAATGAACATGAAAGGTCACACATATTTTTTTCTTTTATTATTTTAAAATATTTTATTTATTTATTTTTAGAGAGGGGGAGAGTAGGAAAAAGAGAGGAAGAGAAACATCAGTGTGTGGTTGCCTTTCATGTGCCCACAACTGGGGACCTGGTCCGCAACCAGGCATGTGCCCTGCCTGGGAATAGAATCAGCGACCCTTTGGTTCGCAGGCTGGTGTTCAATCCACTGAGCCACACCAGCCAAGGCATTTTTAAAAAGCATTACAAGTCGTTATCAAAATTAGAAGTTTCAAAAAGATGCTCACATCTCTAACACTGTCTTAAGTTGTTCAAGTTTTGACTTGTTTTCTTCAATGTCAGAATCATTATTCTGTCCCAGCTCCATAAGAAGCTGCCGTGCAATATCCAACACTTCCTATAAAATAAATTAAGAAACAATTAAATTTTTGTGTAACTTTGCCATTAGCAATTTAAAACTCAACATGAAATCAAATGCACTTGCCTGTAATTGTTTTGGCTTTTTAAGTTTTAACTTCCCAGATTTATATCCATCACACTTTTCAAAAAGATCAAAAAATCTTACAAAAAAAGACAAGAGCACGATTAGTCATTTGCAATGATTAATATTACCACTACATACTTAAATCAATTATAATAAATAACAGGCATAGAACTGTAAATGATAATAAATGGTAGATATGGGACTTGGAGTCTTTGGCTTTCAAATACTACACTGTGTGTCTTCTTACCTCCCTTCACTATATCATGTTGCTTCTTTACTTTTATTGATAAACTTCTGCATTTTCCTAAATCATATCAAACCAATAGTCACTAGATTATTTTTTGAAGTTTTCTCATGATGGAAACAACATATAATACAAAGTATGTGTTCCTTAAGTCACAACATACATTAACATATATTTTTAAATTTTTAAGAAGATTTTATTTATTTTATTTTTAGAGAGGGGAAGGGAGGGGGAAAGAGAGGGAGGGAGAGAGAGAAATGTCATTGTGTGTTTGCCTCTCACATGGGCCCCACCTGGAACCTAGAGTGTAACAAAGGCATGTGCACTGACTGAGAATGGAACTGGCGACCCTTTGGTCTGAAGCCCATGCTCAATCCACTGAGTTCCACCAGCCAAGGCCACATCCATATTTTAAAATATGTTTCAACACATATTTAATGGCTCAAATTTTATCATTTCCATGTCGAATATTAAAAAGAAAAAACATAAATTTTCATTCTAATATTCTAGACGGGTGGGAGGTTAATGACTGTCAAAAAGTGCTATGAGAGAATAATGAACCAAAATGAAGTAGAACGCCTTTACAACAGTAAATGAAAGTCAGGACAGACTGATGGTCATTCATGGACACTGCCAAAATAATTTTCAGATGCCGATATGTATAAGTATTTTAAGTGAATTTGGTTTGCATCCAGTGGTTTAAATATTAATGGCCAAGAAATGGTGACAAACGTATTTTCTATATGATGCATTAATCAAAATAGCCAATCATCTATCAAAAATGATAAATTATCTCCTGAGTGTTAAATTATTCCTTAAGACATACTTTTGATGCCTCACTTCCATCTTCATTTTTTGCTTTGGTGTTCGATCCCCATGACGTATGACAGCTATGACACATCGAAGTTCCATCCTGACATTAAAACACAAAACTCACTCAATTTTTGCCAAAGATTTATGTTGTATAATTCAGAATAATACAACATCTGATTATTTATTTAGAGCCATCTCTTACCATTTCAAGATCCTCCCTACAAAGAAAAGTACTTGTAACAACCGATTTTAATTTTATCAAATTAAACCCTAAAAAGGCTACAAAGCTGAAGATGGAGTAACACTAAACTATGAAATACCTCCAGAGATGATAAACAGCAATTGTAGGCCTCATTAAATACCTGCTCTATAACAATAGCTATTATATATTGAAATTTCATTCCATTAAAACAAAATAAAGCTTTACTGTGTTTATTTTGCCCATGCAAGAAGAACAAGTGTTTCCAAATCAAATTACTGGAAGATAAAACGGAATGCTAAGGTATAATTTAGTGTTTGCCAAACTGTGGACCACAGAACACAATCCTGCAGGATATTAAAAGTTACCTAAAAATATTTGTGTTAAATAAGTTTAAAAATATGGGTTTAAAAACAAAATTAAATATTTTTGCCCCCCTCAGGACTTCTTGGAATATTTAATATGCTAATATATAAGTCTCTAACCAGTAAATGTGAAGATCACCGACTCACCTGAATAACAGGTGAATTTCAAGCAGTATCTTTCACTGGAATGTTATGAAACACTTTGGCAATATTGGTATAGTTAAATTTACCTCAAAATATAACTGTAAATATTTTCTTCACATGCTAAGAGTATGAAAGTTGTATGGCCACTGACTGTAAAGCTTTAAGTAATGCACCTCTTGTGACCTCCTTTATTTTTACAGTTTAACGCAACAGTTCTATAATTATCTAAGCATTTTCCAGGATTGCATCTGTAACAATATCAAAGATTTTTAGTCCAGGGGAACCCTTGTAAAAGCATATACTATATTGCTCCATTTGCAAGGTAAATCATATGAAAGCACACCCACTAAAGTATCTAATAATCACTCAGAAATTTAATCTTTATTGCAATAGCACAGACTAATGGAGAAAACCCAAGGAGTTTCTAAGTGAAAATGTTCAAACTTACATAGTTCCCGATGTAGTTGGTACAATGGGGATATCTTCAGCTTCTAAGGGTATTGACCAGGGGATATGAAATTGTGGAGCAAGCTCTCTCATCACAATATTGCTTTAAGAAAAAGAAACAAAATCAAAAAGTAGTTCCTTTTTAGACAAAATTAGGTACTCAATGACAAATAGTAGAGAATTATAGGAGTTGAAGTCAAACCATCTAGTGATTATGCGACAAAAGCACATAAAAAGTAACCCAAATAACCAATGCTAATCAAGAAATATTAGATCAGCAGTTCTAAACTAGTGTATCAGAATACACAAATGGGATGCCATAAATTTGGAAGTACTTATTTACATACTTTAGTTTAAAGATTAAGTCACAGTGGATTCAAATAACTAATTGTAACTGAATCAATCTACTTTATAAAGGTTCTGAAATCTAAGATTATCTCCTCTCTGTGGCCACTAATCATTTCTTACCAATTTATTGATCACCTATAAAACTATTCTAGATACCAATGCCCATTTTTAACAAGTTTCTAACATATTTTACTAATAGGGTTAACAATGGAAACACAGGGAAATGGGTTTAAGTAATTATAAATTATTTTTGTTTAATTTAATATTTATTAATGCTAAAATTTAGTAGGCTGCCCCAAATTTCACTTTATAGTGAAATTTCAAGCTTCAGCATGGGCATAATCTGGACCCACTGTATAAACCTTTAAAAAATGTTAAAGTATATATTTCATTAAAACATATAACAGCAGACAACAAATTTAAAAAAAAATCAATAAAAAATACTTCAGTCTCCAGTATTTTAAATGTAAGTTCACAAATCTTTGAAACATGTAATAAAAGCTGGCTCCACATTTTAAAGAGTAAGTTTTTATGGCTTTGTCATATGTACTTTGAAATGTTTTAAAAATAGTTCTTGCTTCACAAGTCTTCTACATCAAGTTATAAGAAAACAGGTCAAAGAATAAAAACTGGCATTTCTATCAGCAATAATTTCTTTTATATTCACATGATAATTTCATGAGACAGAGCTTTAAGTAACATGCTTTTAGAAAGAATCATCATTCAAAAGAATCCTGAATTCTAAATATTTCTATTTCACTGTGGTTATTTATTTCACGAATGTTAATTTTGTGCCATGTAAAGAAAATGAAACTATAGCATGTTTAAATCTATAAAGTTAAAATACCTTTAAGCTGTTATCTATTCTGGTCGTAAATCTACCTTTGATTAACACAAAGTAAAGTTCATGATTTCACATGTTTTTGGAGATGTCATTTTATGAACAATGATTTTTACTGCAGAGTGCTAACAAAATCCTAATCATTTGATGTTTACAATTATTTATTTTCCAAATAACTAGTATGCATTAGCTGTAACAAAGATAAAGAAAATATTCTTACCCAAGTATTTTTGCACAATCATCATAGTATTTCATGGAATTTTTCACAAAGCTGAAGCCATTGACATCACAGACATAGGACTGTCCATTGGCCCGTAACAAATCAAAGCCACAAACTGTTTGCTATTTAAAATAAATGACAAACTTCAAAGTTCCATTTGAATTAAGATTCACAATTTTCTAGTCTTATTAGAACATATCAAATTTTATAAATGCTTAAAAGTACATTAATTACTGTTTACTAGTTTACTTCATAATAAATAAAAGAAATTACTTATTTGTAACTTGAGTACTCTGAAAATATACACATATAACTCATGCTATATAATCACTACCACAAAGCCGATGTGGAACAATAATGTTTAGGGGATAAGGGAGGCTGAAAATATTACATATTTTACCTAGTTCTTCAATTTAATTTTTAAAAGTCTTTGATAAATTTTGTACTAGCAGGAATTATATCACTTTAATAAAAAAAACCCATAAAGGAAAATCAATTTTAAAGATATATCCTGAGGAAATATCCAATTATCCCTCTGAATCTTTTAAAACCTGACAATGACATACTTGCGCACATCTGAAATAAATTTGGGAGAACAAAACAGTTTGAAAGGAATAAATTTCCTGTTCAAGCTCCCAAAATTTTCTTATCTTCTATTTTATATTCAAATCATCACATTGTTAGTACAATGTGATTTTAAGTCATGGCTTTTGGAATCTTGGAAATATAAGTTAAAAAGATGTATATGAAATTAGTAAAACATATTTACGGGCTAATATTCCTGCCATAAATGAGACCTAAAATTATTAAGGCACAAAGAATTTATTTATTTTTTACTAACCAATAATATATACTCATCTTTAAATTATATTTTCAAGGCAAAACTTCAAAAAGGTGAAGTTTATCCTTTATCAGACACAAGCTGCACAACTTGTATTTAAATATTTACAGTAGTAAAAGCCTAATGATATAAATTAACTGAGGGAATTAATCGAATTTCAGAAGTAAAGTTTTAAGAAATAAATTCACATTGCTTTCATGAACATATTTCATCATCTACAATAGGGCCAGAAAAACTGGTTATCACGGCTATAATACTGAGGACCCTTGTTGCTCAAAAACAAAAGTTAATCAATTCTATGGGTAAATAATATTTGGAACCAGTTTTAGTTTTAATATGTGAAATAATACCCCTAAACACTAGGTAACTCTACTGTTAGTTAAGTTTTCCTCTGTAACTTTAATTTCTGAATAAATTGACATAGTTCCCTTTTATATAATACAGATTGAACACAGAAACACAAAGGCCTTCATTTATTATATATTTGTATTACTGGCAAAGAATCCCTTGAAGAGTACATATACTCTTCACCCATCACTTTTATTTTCTCAGCTTACTTCTCCTATTACCAGCACAAATAACAATTATTTTACTCAATAAAGAAAATTAGGATTCCCTTAACAAGGGTCTATATGGGCTATATAAATAACATCTTACCTTAAATGCAAGGCAGACTTTCCAAGCGATTAATTTCTCTCGTGCGTTGAGAATAACAGGGTATCTCACCTCTTTTCCTTCACTATCTCGTTCCACTTTGCCATCCAGTGCTGGCGATTTTCGAGCTTCAGCATGGGCATAATCTGGACCCACTGTATAAACCTTTAAAAAATGTTAAAGTATATATTTCATTAAAACATGTAACAGCAGACAACAAATTAAAAAAAACAAACAAAAAAAAATACTTCAGTCTCCAGACTATGCTTTTACACATCTTTCTATTTAGATGCCAAAAGCTTTTTATATTTTAGAAGAGGTGATAAACAATTAACTATATGGCAGAAATGATAGGGTGAAGTTCTATTCTCTATGGCAAAAGATTGCACTGAGCATTACAAGGGAACAAGGGTGTATATGATGTGACTTCTCTCAAATTGTTTTAGTTTAACAAAGGAGAGTAACAAATAACTACAAAAACATTATGGAAGGAAGTAACTGCTAAAAGAAGATTAAAAAAGGGGGGTGGTGAGGATAGCATAAATCTGAAGGCGGACAAGAGAGGAAAAGGTGCTCTAAGCAAAAGCGGTAAACACAGACAGGGCAAAAGCTTGAAAACAGCATGAGCTATTCAGGTAAGAGTAAGTTATTTGGGATGGCTTACACTGTAAGAAATAAGATTCGTAGGACAAACAGAGGGAGAGTGTAAAATAAGTATTGTGCATGCCAGCTTTATGAATCTGATTATTATCCTGTGGTCAGAGAGGATCCACAAGAAAATTTTTAAGAAGAGGTTCATGATCAGGTTTAAGAAGAAACACTCTGGTTAGACAGACTGGAAAAAGGTAAAGCAATGAAGACCTTATTTGTCACCAAGAGAGTTTTGACAACCCATTACAGTTGTTGCATAGCTCACATCATCATCTATGCTAATCAGTGTCTGGAAACTGAGATGGCTATAGGCCCTCAGCCACTGTATTTCATTACCTAATGTTCTTTTAAAGAAGCATACACATTATTGTATCACAAGTTGGTTTTCAATATTTTGATAACCCTGTTTCAATAAAACTTATCTCCTTTTTAATCTTGTATGATTTATTTTAATCATTTAAAAACATTATTCTAAGAAAGAATTACTTTAAAAAGGGTCTATAGACCTCAGACTGCCAAAGGCATTTGTAGTACAAAACAGATGAAGAATCCCTTGTCAAAAAGAAATAGATCACAGGTTAGACATAGCTAAATAAAGGGTAACCTATTTTCTGATATCACTGGTAAATTCTAAATACGAAATGAAAGTATACTTTAATCAACCCTACCTTAACGTCAGTACCATCTGTAGGCATGAACTCTTCATATATATACGAGCCTGTTTTTCGTACACTGCTTTCTGGGGAATAAACACTGCTTCTACTGCCAATCTGAAAACAAAAGATGCCCATCAACACAAAAACTAAAGTATTCCCTTCATTTTCTTAATACCACCCTTTGGCATCTATTTCCATCTTAGACAAAAAATTTTTAATCCACAAATGTTTAACAACACTATGTAGTTGAAACTGTATTTTCTGTTGTAATTTCAACTTACATATAAGTTAAATTGCATTAAAATACAATGAATGTTAAGAATAATGTTTCCAAGATTCAACCATATTGCAAGTAACTTTCAATTCATTCATTTTTAACACTACAGAATTTTCCACTGTATAAACATACCATAATTCATTCACTCTCCTATCAATGTATATCTGGGTTGTTTTCAAAGCTTTAGCTAGTAGAACAACATTGCTTTGAACATTCTTAAAAGTGTCCTTGTGGTACATGTGTGCTACAGTGTTTTTATGGTATATATTAGCAATGGAAATGCTAGGTGATAGAATATGCCTTCATTCAATTTACAAAGATAATGGCAAAATCATTTATAAACTGTTTTAACAATTTAGTCTCTCCAGCAATGTATGAGAGTTCCCACTGCTGTACATCCTTGTCTATATTTGGTATTACCAGACTTTCTAATATATGCCTCTCTAGTGGATATAAAACAGTATCTCATCATGTTCTTACTATGCATTTCCATAAAGAAATTTTTAAGAGTATATGTCAATTTTTCATCCTGACATTTCCTGCCAACAACATATGGGCTTGTGTTTGTTTCCCAACTACCTCTGTCTTTTTAATCTTTGCCAATACAAAAAGTAGTTCAATGTTATTATCTTCTATGTCTGATTTGCACTTATTTGACTAGGGGGCAATTTTGAGCATACATGAATGTATGTAAAAGTTATTGGTATTACTTTTTCTATGAACTATCCATTTTGGGTACAATTTTTATAGAAGACTGCTGATCTTTACCTAATATTTTATATGACAGGTATGTAAATGGAAGGTAGAAGAAAAATCAACTTCCTGGTATTTTGTAGGCAGAAATTTTGCATAAACAACATTAAGTAACTAAAACGATGGCTTGCTTTTCTAATAAAATATATATCAGTTTTAATAACATATCTAAATGATACATTCTTACTTAATCACAGTTTGAATACATATTTGATTGCTTTTAGTAAAATTTATACAACAATGCATAAAGAACAGCATTCACTAGGATAACGAAGGTTTACCTTTCGAAAAAGTCTTTGACTTCCACCACCAGCAGATGTTGGATAATAAATGTAAACATTGTGATCTTCTGCACTGACTGGCTTTTCTACAAATGGCTTTTGGAAAACTTCCCCATTTACTTCTACATGATCTTCCCCTTCAATTAGACTGCATTCTATAAATCAAACATAATAGCAAGGAAAATGACATATTGTATATTATCTAGATATATTATCATTATTGAGAACTATTACTTATTTAAACAAAAATTACAAAGAAAAGTAACCTTCGATAAAGTACCGATTTGGTTTTAATTAAAAATGCTTATGTAAATAATATATACCAATATTTATGATATATGGCATTAGGAAATACAGTTGTTCTTCAAAACCTTATGGACCCGCCATTAACCATCCCATAGACATCAAAGCTAGATATGAAATAATGCTTACAAGAAAGACTGAAAAATAACTTCAGAATGCTATCATTTCCTGAAAAACGTATGGGATCACCCATATCACAAATACCACAAAACACAAAATTATTTAATTTAAAAAGTAACTCATTCGCAGAGTAAGCAAGCAATCCATTCAGAAAGTAAAATTTTCACCTCTAGACAAACAAGAAAGTTCCGTTATAGATAATAAATGCTATGCCTGTGCATTAATAGAAGCTACTTTAAGGTACAATGAAGTTATAAAAATTCACCCAGACACTGTTATCAGAATATTAAATCTTAATACAGACACACAGTTATCTTGCCTTTTTAGACAAAGTTATATATAGCTTACATGCTGTTTTAGGTAACCAGGAAAATGAAGCAAAGGGTATTTTAAAGTACTAATAAATGGTAATATTTCAAAATTCCTAGTCATCAGAAATTTAATTGTGCCATCTCAGCATTAAGTTTCTAATCCTTAATTCAATAGTCATAGACAGATGACTTGTTTACCCCAAATCAATACAAATTTATGAAAGCACATGATTTAAAATTTGTTTATGATTCTCGGAGATATGTCATACATAAACCAGAGAAAAACAGGATCTGTAACTCCTAAATTATTAGTTAGCCTTTTAGCTCAGTATCACATTTTTAACTGAATACAATGCTTGTTTATTTAGATCATTAAAAAAAATGAATAGAGTACTTTGAATTCTTTATATTCCTTCTACTTAATTATAGAAGGGAAGTGGCTCAAAAGTATGTTGAATGACAGAAACAGCTTGCTTAAAATCTCTTACACTTACCTTTGGGATTATTTGGGTCACGGTTCAAAATTGCATAACGAGGAAGTAAAATACCTTCAGCTTGAAGGATACTATATACTTCCCTCCTGCAGAAAAAGAAAAGTGAACATCTTGATTGTTTTATCGCTGCTTCACAAGTATATCATTGTATGGTTCGTAAGATATATATTTCTGTTTTACCACTAAAAAAGGAATGTAAATTAAGATTTTTATATAAACAAATATGTCACTTAAAATATTGAATAAATATATCACAAATATTCAGCAATTAGAACAAAAACGTATGTATAATATATTAGGTGGCATATTAAAATACTAATTTTTGAAATTGAGAATGTGAATGTATATAAAGGAGTGATTACATAAAGTTGCTATATTGCAATTACAGAATATTACCTAACCATTAATACTCTATATAAATTTAATAACATGGGAAAATACTGACAGTATAAGAGTTGTCTTCATTTTGTAAAATATGAGTGCATGAATGTATTGCTTTCTGTATGAACAAATATGGTAATGTAGTGGCAGCGTTAAATGTCTTTCTTTATGCTTTTATTTTCTTAAAATGAATAAATATTTGCATATATACATGTATTTATATTTATAATGCATAAACATGCATTAATATGCAAACCTAAAAATGTTTAAAAATTTTAGATATTAACAGTGTTACCATCTAAAGAATAGTGAAAAACAAAATAACTATAGGGCCATATATTTTATAAAGTACTTTAATATATATAATCTCATATTGTAATACTAACAAAAAACAGAATGCTAGTGAAATTATAAGACTAGTCATGAGAGTGAAACATTAATTAAATGCAATGCATAAATACATTTATATTTACCATTTCTCTTAGAAATCCATGCTTTTGCATTTCTAAGAGAAGTGGTATGCCTATTAAATGAATGCTAAGATAAATAGTGAAATATTTAAAAAAACAGTTACACTTCACCATTAAAAATCACCTAGTGATAATGAATTAAGGCCTAATTTCTTCATCAGTCACATGATAAATTATTGATAATTTCCATGATTTGGGCAGGATTTGGAAATTAAACCATCTTGGTGTAAAGTCCTTGTCCCACTACTTGTAGAACTACTTGTGACTCTGGGCGGATTAACTCTAGTTAATCCCACTACTTGAGTAGTCCCACTACTCAAGTCTCTAGTCCCACTACTTGAGAACTAGTATCTCTAGTTCTCAAGTCTCTTCATCTGTAAAATTGGGTCTGAATATCTACCTCTAAGAATTATTTCAAGGATACCACAAATTAATGTATATGAAAACACCCAATACCATATCTGCTTAGAGCTGATACTAAATCAAAGTTAATTTTCCTTCCCTCAATCCAGCCAACTTCATCACTCACTCACCTATCTTGTATGAGATACTGCATATTCAAGTCATTGATTACAAATGGATTCCTGAGTTTTGCATAGGCAACTGCTTTGTCCAGTGGAAATCCTAAGAACATATATCATTAACATATTCTGAACAATCTCAAGATAAGTTGACATCTATAACTTTATCGAGTTGAATTTAAACCATCTCCCACAAAAGTTGAATTTCACTAGGCATATAACTCCTTTCTATAAAGGCATGGACTAATTTAACACATAAAACCTGATTTAATGTATACTGTTAAATAATCCTTATTTCCTCCCAATTACCTTGATTGATAAGGCACAGCAAGCCATATATAACCAAATTTAGAGCACTGGCATGTTAGGTACTGTTTAACTATTCAGTCACCTGATAAAGGGCACAACTGCCTCATAAACAAATAGAAATCTCCACATAAATAAAGTATCACAATCACCTGGTGATTTTTAAAAAATATTCACAACTCCCCCTCTCACTTAAAATATTTTGGTACTTATATCTATAAGTTAGCTGATAGTTCAAATTCACATCCAACAGATATATGCTCAAAACATAAAATACATGAGCAGAATAACGCTTGCTGCTATTAGGTCAATGTTAAAATGTCAGATATTAACCACCTAAAATTTCTAGACTTTGCTAAAATTACTAAGTATAATGAAAACAAACCAAATGGTTAATACGGTTTTAAAAAATCTAAAAAAAATTAATGATTATATGTCACTCTCTGCGCTGATAGAAATCTACAATTTTATCCATCAATTCATATTATTCAGAGAGGCAGTAAACCAGAGATTATGAGCAAAAACCAGGGTTTAAATCCTGGTTCCATCTTTTATCTGCTATGTGATCTGGAACAAATTTATTTAAAACCTCTAAGCCCGATTCCTGGCTGTAAATGGGTATTATGTCAGTCTTACCTAGTAGGGTTTTTGAGGAACTAAATTAAAAGTGTATATAAAACACTTAACACAATACCTGCTACAAAAAAAATGTTCAATAGATGTTAACTATTATTCCTTAAATGACAATATTTTAATAAATATTTTATCTAAGTAAATGCATAAAAATCAGCATGCATGCGTAATTTTAGCATTTAACTACAGTATACGACAGTATCTGTGAAGACCTGTATTTTATAGCATTACCAGAATAGTTAGAAGTATTAAAGCATACTAAAATTTTAAAAATCTAGTCAATTAAAGACTCATTCTAATATTCCTTAGTTTCAAAAATTTAAATAGAAATACCCAATACCAACAATCACTTGACCACAAATTATAAATCCTTCCAGTTTTATGAACTCTCAGAAGCATTCTTCACTTGTAAAGATGTCTCAATGCCTGATCTGAGGCCTCCTAAAATAATTCAGCAACAGTTCACTGCTTTGTTGTTAAAGAGGAACTTCTTCCCTTATCAAAAGACAGCACATGAGATATAACTTTAGATAGTCTGATTTTAATAGGCAAGTGGGTTTTGTAGAGAGAACCATGTGGTAGTTAGGGAAGAACATTATCCTCAAGGACAAGCAAATTTTAAGATTCTTTGAAATGATGAGCTTCAGTCTATAAGGAAGACCAGGGCCTTGGCTTCTCTATGAAATAATAAAAATCAATATAGGCTGCAGGAGCAAAAAGGGTCTCAATCCTTCTTGCTGAAGGAGATGCTTCTTGAATACCTAACTAAACTCAGACTTGAACATTACTGGAGACTACATATTTTGGTAATAGGAATGATATAATATGAACACATTTATAAATGAGTGCAAATCTCTGTAATTCTTAGTGAGAAATTCACTTCATTTACAGATCTTAGATTATAAAATTTCAGATAATTTTGATTAGTATATATACCATGAAATACTACTTTACTATGACATAATACTAAAGCTTAACTGATATTTCAGTTTGATTATAGAAAATAGCCAGTAAAATCTAAATTCAAATATTAAGTTCTTAAGAAAGAAATAAAGTATAAATATGTATAGGAGAAATAAAAGATCATTTCCTATTTGGCAAAAGCATAAGGGATAAAGATACTCAGTAATTTAAGAATTTACCCTAAAAATCCTTGAGTTGCAACCAAAAATACATTTGAGGAGTTCATTAAAATCATATTTTTAATAGTGAAGCCTGGAAACCATGTAATTGTTAGAATATTAGATACATATGCTATAGTACACCCACACAATGACACACTATAACACCTTTCAAAAATCAGGTTTTTGAAGAATGATATGGAGAAAAAAACTTCTGATCTAATTAGTAAAAAAAATTAGATATAAAATTACAATTATAGGTATATATAAATTGTGTGTATATATAAATATAAAATTACATGTATAAATATAAAATTATGACTATATGTATATAATGTAAATTATATATGTATATATAATTGTATAAAATTACAATTATATGTATATATGTTACATATATACTGTAATACTAAATGTTTCTAAAAATATATACAAAAAAGGTTGGCAAGAAATATATCAAATGTTAATATTAATATCACTTATCTGAGAGAGTAGGTAAGTAGAATTTTATTTTTCTAATTTACCTAATATTCTACAATTAATATGTATTAGTTTTACAATTGGAGAGAATGTAAAAGTTTCCCTTCCCATTCTTTAATACCTTTAGAATGGAAAGAAATAAGACAATCACATAAAGGCCAGTTTTCCACTGGTTCATTCAAAATAACATCCTCTTCAAATACTACTACTGTAATATATTTAAATAAGGAGATCCGTTCGAGAATTTCCTTCATGGGTTTGGATTTGGATTTCTTTGCCATGGAACATATTCCAACCACAATCTGCCTTTCCGGTGGCTAAAACAAAAAACAAACAAAAAATCAGGTTGACTTAATAGGAATCCAAAATACAGCTGTCTTAAATCTTTTTCAGAAGTAATTGAGACATGTGATGAATTGATAAAAGTGACACAATAACCAAAAAAGTCATTTTTTAAAATTGTATCATTATCATAACATACTTAAAAAGTTTTCTACAGTTATTTTAAGTTTTAAACAAAAATTTTTCAGAACATTTTTACTATTTTCTTTCAAATTTTAAATGTATATATGCTTTTAACTGTCCCTAGTATATTTATTTACCTTCCTCATACCAGAAAGGCGTAAATGAAAGCCAAACTCTAATCCAAGCACAAAGGCCAGTGGGAGCGGGACAAAGAATTCTCTTGACTGAAATAAGATACTGTTCCGACTAGAGCTATGCAGCCTTAAACTATTTCTGTAGACTGAGTTTCACTATTAGTTGGTCAACTACGACAATACGGAAGGAAATTTGGAAGACACACTGGCAGCAGGGGTGTGGACGCTCTGCCACCCCAACTTCATTCTCTAACAGTCCTGTTCAATGGTAGCATTCATCTCTGGCACCCAAAATTCGGCCTGAACTAACAGAGCAGAAAATGGAAATAATTAATAACTATGAGTAGGCCACAGGACTCAGTAATTTATAAAATTACTCAAGATTTATTAAAGTCTTTGCTTCATGTGCTTAGTTTGTATCAAATATATAAAGCAGCGCCCCACTGGGCTCAAATTATATTAGTTACAAAGTTTTACTAGACTTATTATAATCCTAAAAATAAAACTGGATAACATCAGAATAAAGTTGTTATTCCCCTTTAGTCTAGAATTGTATTTCTTCATTGCTCTAAGCATATAAAATTCAAATTGGTTCTGGATTTGACTATAAACCCTAACCTCCCTGGGATGTTCCCTTACTCAGTTCTTTCCTGCTAAAAAGCCTCAACATAGCTCCTTATGATGTTCCCAAAGTGGATATCTTAGACAACAAAAGTACCCTACCTAGTATTTGATTCTGCTTTACAGTTAAAATAAAAGCTAAATATGTTGAATTTTGTTTCATTATAGATCTGTTTAATGAATATATCTGATCATTGGCTAGGATGAGCAGAAAACATTCATATTTAAAATGTACAAATAAACCTACATTAAGGAAAAAAGTTACAGGGGCTTCCAGTTAAGATGCAGATGTAGGTAGACATGCATCGCCTCACTGTATGACCATAAGACAGAACACAACTTAAAAACAAAAAACACCTGAAATTGCCTGAAATTACCTAGAAAAAAACCCAGAACTGTATAGAAGTCTGACAACCAAGAATGTAAAGAAGCTATATTCATCCATATGGGTAGGAGGTCAGGAGATGGGGAGTCTAGGCAGACAGGTTTTGAAGTGGTGGAGGTGATCCAGAGGTGAAGAGGTGGCAAAGTGACAGCAGCCAGGGGAACTGGCAGCCCGACACTCACATGTGGTAAATAAAAATCAGGGAGATACCTTGTGAGTGAGTGAGCCCAGCCTCAGGCCAGACTGAACAGTACTCAGTTCCAGTGCTGAGAAAAAGAAAGCCTCATAACTTCTGCCTGCAAACCCAGTGAAAGTGGGGGTGGCAGGAAGACACTGCCACAGAGCCCTGAATGTTGGGAAAGCCACCCACCCTGGGAACCACAGCCAGGACAGCAGCGGAAGGGGTCCAGTCTCACATGGGAAGTAGGTGAAGTGACTGGAAATAGGGTGAGAGCCAGGCAAACCTCCAGAAGTCATCCAGCAGTGCCACTGTCCCCTCTTCAACACTTCTCTTACACACAGACCACAGTTGCCTGCCCTGGCAAAAACCCAAGGCTTTGGCCCATACAACTTAACAGGTGCGCTAAAATGGAATCGAAGTGGCTCTACCTAGTACACAGACAGAGAAAGGCTGCCAAAATCAGGAGACAAAGAAATATGGCCCAAATGAAGGAATGGAACAGAAACCCAGAAAAAAAGTAAGCAATGAGGAGACAGCCAACCTATCAGATGCAGAGTTCGAAACAATAGTTGTCAGAATATTCAAAGATCTCATTGAACATGGCAAAAGTGTAAGGGAAGAAATGAATGCTATACTTTAGAAATAATAAAAACTCCACAGGAAACCAACAGTGAAGGGAAGGAAGCTGGGATTCTAATCAATGATTTAGAACAGAAGGAAAAAATAAACATTCAACTAGAACATAATGAAGTACCATTCGACCAGAACATAACCAAAACAAAAAAATAAGGAGTGTTTAAGACAACTCTGGGACATCTCCAAAAGGGCCGACATCCAAACCATATGGATGCCAGAAGAGGAAGAGCAACAACTGAAAACTTATTTGAAAAAATAATGAAAGAAAAGTTGCCTAATTTGGTGAAGGAACCAGACATACAAGTCCAGGAAGCAGAGTCCCAAACAAGTAGGACCCAAAGAGGTCCACACCAAGACACATCATACTTTAAAAGGTTAAAGACAGAGAGAGAATCTTAAAAACAGCAAAAGAAAAGCAGAGAGTAACCTACAAAGAAGTTCCCATGAGACTATAAGCTGATTTATCAAAAGAAACTTTGCAGGCAAGGGGCTGGAAAGGAGTATTCAAAGTCATGAAAAGCCTGGACCTACAACCTAGATTGCTCTACCCAGCAAAGCTATTATTTAGAATGGAAGGGCAGATAAAGTGCTTCATAGACAAGGTGAAGCTAAAGAAGTTCATCATCACCAAGCTCTTATATGAAATGTTAAAGGGATTTATTTAGGAAAAAGATCAAAACCAAGAACATTAAAATGACAACAAATTCACACCTATCAACAACTGAATCTAAGAAACAAAAACAAACTAAGCAAACAAGAACAGGAATAGAATCATAGATATGGAGCTTATGTGGAAGGTCATCAGCTGGGAAGGAAAGGGGGGAGATTGAGGGAAAAGATATTTAGAAGCATAATCGGGTAGGTGCAAATAGACAAGAATTGGCAAGGGAGAAGCCAAAGAACTTACGTACGTAACCCATGGACATGGAAGTAAGGTGGGGAATTGCTACAAGGAAGGGGGAAAGCTAGCAGAGGGGGAGCAGAGGGTGAAAAATGGGGACAACCGTAACAGGATAATCAATAAATTATACTTTATTTTTAAATATATTTTATTGATTATGCTATTACAGTTGTCCCATTCCCCCCCTTTATTGCCCTCCACCCTGTAACCCCCCTCCCACCAGCATTCCTTACTTCAAGTCCATGGATTTTACAACAGTTCTTTGGCTTCCCCATTTCCCATACTATTCTTAACCTCCCCATCTATTTTGTACCTACCATTTATGCTTCTTATTCCCAGTACCTTTTTGCCCATTCTCTCCCCTCCCCCTACCTGCTGATAACCCTCTATATCTCTATTTCTGTGAATCTGTTCTAGTTGTTTGCTTAGATTGTCTTTTTCTTTTTGGGGGGGTTTGGTTGTTGATAGTTGTGAGTTTGTTGTCATTTTACTGTTCATAGTTTTCACCATCTTTTTCTTAGGTAAGGCCCTGCAATGTTGCATATAATAAGGGCTTTGTGATGAAGCACTCCTTTAACTTGGCCTTATCTAGGAAGCACTTTATCTGCCCTCCCATTCTAAATAGCTTTGCTGGGCAATCTTGGATGTAGGTCCTTGCCTTTCCTGACTTTGAATACTTCTTTCCAGCCCCTTATTGCCTATAAGGTTTCTTTTGAGAAATCAGCCAATTGTTTTATGGGAACTCCTTTGTAGGTAACTGTCTCCTTTTCTCTTGCTGCTTTTAAGATCCTCTCCTCTTTAATCTTGACTAATGTAATTATGATGTGCCTTGGTGTGTGCTTCCTTGGGTCCAACTGTGTGGGGACTCTCTGAGCTTCCTGGATGTCTACTTCCTTTGCCAGCTTTAGGGAAGTTCCCCATTATTTTTTTCAAAAACTTTTCCATTTCTTGCTCTTCCTCTTCTCCTTCTGGCACCCTTGATTTGGATATTGGAACATTTAAAGTTATCCCAGAGGTTCCTAAGCCTCACCTCTTTTTTTTTTGAACTCTTATTTCTTCACTGTGTTCTAACTGAATGTTTATTTTTTCCTTCAGCTCCAAATCATTGATTTGAGTCCTCATTTCCTTCCCATCACTGTTGGTTCCCTGTGCATTTTCACTTACTTCACTTTCCATAACCTTCACTCTTTCCTCTATTTTGCCACCATACTCAACCATTTCTGTGAGCATCCTTATTACCAGCGTTTTGAACTCTGCATCTGATAGGCTACCTCTTCATCTCTTACTTCTATTTGTGGAGCTTAGATCTGTTCTTTCATTAGGACTTTTTTTTTTTTTGTCTCAGTGCACTTGTTACATAGTAAGGGGAAAAGCCTTAGGTATTTGCCATGGAGGAGCAACACATGTGTCTCTGCTGTGGCACTTTTTGTGGGGTAGGGATCCCAGAGGGAACAGTGCCGCTTGCTCTGCTCTCTGCTGGCTTTCAGTTACTTCCTCTGCTACCCACAAGCAACTTCTGGTGCTGATACCTGGGTGGGTGGATTTGTTAACATTCTAGGATCCTGTGGGTCTCTCCAATGAACTCTCCTGTGAGGCTTAAAGTTTCTCCAGCCACCACAACCCCCACACCTTTTTATCACCAGAGGTTTTGAGGCTTTATTTTCCTGTGCTAGAACCCTGGGTCACGTGGTCTGTCTCACTCCCCAGTTGTTCCTCCCCATTTATCCACATGCAAATGTGGGACCATCTGGTCCTCCAGCCACTGCCTTGCTGTGCATCCTCTCTGCCAGGGCTGCTTGTCTCTGCCCCTCCTACCAGTCTGGATGAATGTTTCTTCTTTAACTCCTTAGTTGTCAGACTTCTATACAGTTCAATTTTCTGTTTTTAAATTTGTCGTTGTCCTTCTGGTTGTCCAAGGAGGCAAAGTGTAGCTACCTATGCCTCCATCTTGTCTGGCAGTTTCAAGATGATTCTTTATCTAAAATATACTTTAAAGTAAAGAAAAATAGAACAGATGAAATGTTAAATCTGAAAAAAAAAATAAGAGCCCTGGCTGGTGTGGCTCAGTGGATTGAGTGTTGGCCTGTGAACCAAAGGGTCACTGGTTTGATTCCTGATCAGGGCACATTCCTGGGTTGTGGCTCAGGTCCCCTCTGGGGGGGTGCACGAGAGACAACCACATATGTATGTTTCTCTCCTTCTTGTTCTCCTTCCCTTCTCCTCTCTCTAAAAATAAATAAATAAAATCTTTAAAAGAAAAGAAAAAAACTACAGAATTTTCCTACTTAGGTAAAGCCTTATAAGAATGAGAATTATTTTTAAAACAGATCTAAGTTATTTTGTTAGATATAATGTCTAAATAAAATTCTTTGAAATATTAAAAACAGAAGAATGATCTGGAACCAATTGTTTTATCAATCTGTAGGTCAAACGAGCCCTTTCAAGCTCCTCCAAAGTGATTAACTACACATCCTGAATGTAAACTCAATTTAACTGGTACCAATATAGTAAGAACTATATTATGCACTGAAGAGTTAAGATCTACAGAAACTACCTGCCCTCAAAACAGTTTGAGGGACAGAGTAATCATACGGTATACTATCATCAATGAAATATATATGTCAAGGTACAGAAATAGTACCAAGGAACAAGTGTTCAAGTCCCAAAGGAAAAAGAGCAAGGAGAGGGAGAAGAGTGCGTAACAGCACATCTGATCATGGTTTTGAAGAATGAAAAACACTTCATTAGGTACCCCAAAACAAGAGCATTTCATAGAGATAAAGGAGTGCTTAAAACAGCAAAGAGGCATGATAAAACATGGACTAAGCAGGAAATAATATTTTGATGTTGCTAAAACATAAAAGGTAAAAGGTATGAGAAAGGGTATGGTTCTAGATGTAGGTGAGAGAAAGTCCTTACATGTAAAACTGGACTTGATCTATCAAGTCGTGTTCAAAATGTGTTCAAAACGCTATAAAGAAAAAGGGTAAGTGTAGTAGAATCTGTGTCAACAGTACTTTCCAGTCTAAGTCAGCCAGAAAAGCTCTGTCATTATGTTTTACCTACTGGTCTTCTAGATAAGACTTGAGATAAAGAAAAGGTTTGGCTGGCAAGAGAACCTTAAAAGTCATTATTTTTTTGTGGAGTGAAGTGGGTGATGGGGTAGGTTTTATACTAGTGACAGTGTGACTTGCACCTCAGATATCTATAATTGCACTGTAGAAGTCGTTGCTAAATGACTACAAAAAATTAGTCATCTAACAGGTATCTTTGGTTTGTCTTCACTACTTTTTACAAAGTATAATAGGGTTTTGTTTTAAAACAAAATTACCTTTCCAATTAAAAATATAAGAAACACAAATAGTACAAATTAGTTGGGTAAAGCAATCTCTACTTGTAAAGGGAAAACAAAGACAACTAAGAATAATATTAAACTAATATAATTATAACTAAATTAACATGATAAAGGTGTCATTCCTAAAGATCCAACATGGATATACAATCTAATAAATCAGATCAGGAAGAGAACAGAACTCATACACACACACACACACACACACAATCAGTAGGTATGTGAAACAGCCTCTACTTTCTGCCACACAATTTATATATTTCTAATAAATATGGATTATCTTCTGGTCTACCGCCACCTGTGTTGACAACATGACAAACTTAATAAAGCTGGTAAAGTAGTCCTACTTTGGTACCTTTGAAATTATTTCCTTCTACTTTAGCTTGATATAATTGCTATGTACTTCTACATATACCAGAAATCCTTTTGAATTATGGCCACATTTTCTAGCCAGTCCTGTGTTTTACAAGGCATATCAATAAAAGACACTATAATGGGCATCATTAAACAATCTAAATGTCTGACCCCTAATTGTATTTCTTGATATACCATAAATCAGTGTCACTTATGGAACAAAGTATGTTTTTCCAGTTTAAAATATTTCAAGCAAATTTCTATATGAAAAAATGTCTTCACAATCTCAGACGATAATATTAATTCACCTTAACACTGATCAGTAAAACACCTATCCTGTATTGGTCTTCTCTCACCCAAAACAAAAACAATAAAAAACACCAACTTACAGATTCATCCTCCTCCTCCTCATCTTCATCCGCATGGTGGAAGAAATGGCGATAATTACCAGGGTTGATTTCTGTATCTTCAGGCCCAACAAAGAATCTGGGAGCTTCACTCATTTTTATTTCATTTGATGTAGGTTATAATTTAGATGTATTATGCTAAAATTTCTTTTAAATACCAGAATCAGAAGAATGCATTCTCTGTCTACCAGCTGACACAGGTCTGCTGCAGCATGTTTCTGCTTACACAGTCACTTCAATTGTGAGGACAGTTAGTTGGCACATGTTCTTTTGTGCTCAGATATCATTGCTTCATTGTTGATACAGTGTAAAAAACAAAGATAGTGAGGCTATTGCTTCAGTCAGATGATTCAGCAATCCTTTTACCTAAAATGCAATGAAGAATTAATTTAAATGACACTTATAAAATCTGTATCAATAACCTGATACATAACTTCAAAATAAAGAGATATTTCTTCCATAAAATTAAGAAATTAAGACTGATCTTCGAAAATATACATCTTTGAACTTGACAAACTGATACAAAATAACACAAAAATTACACACTAAAGTTCTCAAGGCCAAAATTATCTAACATTAGGGGAAATTATTTAAATTATAACAAAATTATATCAAAAGCTAACTCCCTCTGCACATAGTTCAGAAATATCTGCATGGAAAACAATAGATCACATGTAATGGGGTTTAAAAACCATTGACCACTATATATCAGTCTGAAATTACATGAAAACATTTTTGAACAGTGTACTGATTTATTGGGGCGGGACTAGAAGAGAACATACCATACTGAGGAACAAAATCAATTAAAGGAATACATGTGCAGAAAACAATAATGTTAAAATAGTAACCCCCAAAATGGGTAACTGCAATCACTTTCTTAAAAGGACTTGACTTGTGGAAGAAAAACTTTAATTGCTGTTGCAAAAAACATCTGTGTGAAGTTCAAATTGGTTCAATAACATTAGTTGAGAATGCATTCTAGAGACTGGAGATAACTGAATGAAATATCCTGGCAGCAATTTAATAGAACAGGTAGATAAGACTGAGGCCAACCCTTATGGAGGAAGAAAGACTTGTCTGTGGACAATTTTGGAAGATACATGGAAAAATATTAAACTGTGTATAACCAAACTGAATTGTTGTCACAAATATCATAAAGTTTTATATAGTGAAAGTTTTTTTTCTGTAGGCACTTCAATTTCACTGCAAGAGTCCCACAGGACACCAAAACATAGAAGAGAACATTCATGCAAGATATCTAACTCCTGGATATAATAATGCATATAATTCAAAATGATTACAGTCATTACATCTAGGGCTTTCCACAACTACAAGGTGGCAGTTATGGAAAACATGGCTCCAGGTACCAGTATCTAAAAAGCAGCCACCACCTTCTTCTATGCGTGTTCTCTTTTTGTGTTTTTTCTTCATTTTTCTTGATCAACTCTACTGTTGTTGCTGCTTCTTAGCAAAACTGGTAAAAACAAAGTTGTAATCATTGAACATAGAACCCTGGCAATTGAGGCATTTAAAACCTTTAATCTCCTGGGAAAAGGAAAGCACTCTGCCTCATTTACAACTGATTTACAAAAAAGGTGGTCACAAATTTTGCTAGCTTGGAGATTTCCACAACTTTCCTGATCAGGTCATCATAGGAGGTCTGACTGAAGTTTGTTTGAAAGCTAACATAAGAAAATTCTGGTTCTGGAGTGGTGTGAATAGTCCTTTAAGCTCTATCCAGTCTCATGCCATTCACCAAATGCCCACAAGGACTGAACACTGTGGCATCAATGACAAAACCTGGTGTCAGGTCATGAATTCCATACTCACAAGCGAAATCCTTTGCAGCAACACCATCTTTCATGGAAAACTGATTCCTAACTGCTGGGTCAAGTTCACTCATCAGAATCTCCAGGGTTTGACCTGGCTGACTGATTACGCTATTCTCTGGGAAATCCAAAGTATACAAGTACCAACAATCAGAATTTACATGCCCCATACAATATGCTGCTCCACTGGGGAAAATTACATTAATAAAACTGTTTCTTCCTGGAAATTCCGCTGTGGGTACACTTGGTGATAAGGCTTCATGAAATTCTTATAAGAATAAAAGAAACTTTAAATTAAGTCAAAGACACTGTAATCCCCAGCAAGTTTAAACAGAGGAAACCAGCGCTTTCAATAAGAGGGAAGTACCACATGTCTTCAAAATGAAACGTCTCTTGCAGACAAACATGTTACTCTTACTGACTACATAGTTTCCTGCTTGTCAGTTTTTCTCACACTTGAGATTGAACATTGCACATCCTTCAAAAGGATGTTCTACTCAGATTTGCAAAAGTGTGAAGATCCCTGGATCTTTGATTTGTGTCAGGTTGCTGCCTGGAGAACCACACCTCCAGTAGCTTTTCCGTCCCTTCAAAAAAGTATGCAGCTTCCATCACCATGAGACTAGCAAACAACAACCAACCACGGAAAAATCAAGTACATTACATAAATCTCTTCTCCTGCCGCTGCTACAGATTATTGTAGCTGTTATTACTAAAGTTCAGGTTGCCTTTTTTTGTGGCTATTTTATATAAACATTTTTTGGGAAAAAGGATTAATAAAATTTTCCCACCTTTTGTGTGTGTGTGTGTGTGTGTGTGTGTGTGTATGAGAGAAAGAGAGAAAGAGAGAGAGAGAGAGTGAGAGAGAGAGAGAGTGTTGTGTGAGCAAAAGTTGATCCTAAGTCTGTTGGAAATAGAGGCAGACACATTTCCATCTCCCGTGGCCTGCCTTCCCCCAGCTGAGAGACCAGAGCCAGCGCTCATTAATGTTGCTGGCCATACTGTGGAAGCCAAAGCAGTTTTTAAAAGGCTTCAATTTGTAAAAGTTCAGTGTGTAAAGAGGTTTTTTTTAGAGAATATAACTATTCTTCATCCTGGACTCACATATAAATCAACAAAACAAGATTACAGTGAAGCCAGTATTTGATTATAATAGCAAGCCTTAAACTTTTAGAAGTCAAAACTGGCAAATCTGATAAAAATCTATGAATTCTACCCTGGCTGGTATAGCTCAGTGGATTGAGCACAGGCCTGTGAAGCAAAGGGTTGCTGGTTTGATTCCCAGTCAGGGCACATGCCTGGGTTGCAGGCCAGGTCCCCCGTAGGGGACACATGAGAGGCAACCACACATTGATGTTTCTCTTCCACTCTTTCTCCTTCCCTTCCCCTCTCTCTAAAAATAAATAAATAAAATGTTTTGGAAAAAAATCTGTGAATTCTCTCCTCAGGAAGAAAACTGTGCATGTGCACTGCATCCTATAGGCAACTGTACATGACTGACTGACATGCAAACTCCCCCACATACAGAAGCCTATGACCGTCAGGTTTAAGATCTGTCATACAGCAGGGATAACAACTCAAAGCTGTTTACATGTACTTGTTCCTTGGTCATATTAAAAATAATCGCCTCTCAAGATGAAACTACAGATCAAATGTTTCATTTGATCACTGGTAATATAACAAATTACTAGATGAAATATTCTTAAGAGTTGAATAATATGCTAGATAGAATTGCACAGCATGACTCCAGAAGTCCTATTCCCAAAGAACTAATTCCAGTCAAATGGGATTATAAATTCGAGATGGTCTTGAAGACAAATGACAAGGCAGACACCACAGCACTTGGCATACGGTAAGCACCAAGTAAATGTTAGCTGTTTATGAATCTTCTTATGATTCTACCAATCCTTAAAATGACACCTTGGATCATCCATCACTCCCTTGTAGTATTCAAAATCCTCCCTTACCTGAACTTAAAATATTTCTAAGCCATCACCTTAACCCTTTCTGTAAGTTCCCCGGGAGCCTAACTTGGGAGCCTAACTCTGAACTAGTAAATCTCAGTTGCCAAAATCAGAGAAAATAGGAGCTCTAGCTCTCGGTGCTCCGCTTGAACACAGATGCATAACCAGATTTCCTGAAATCCTGAAAGCATTTATCAGTGGAAACACTGCTACAAATGGTGGCACGTTTCAGAGCACTATTACTACAGTTACCTAGTAGGTTATTAAATAGGCTCCAGCAGGCTAGCATCATTTATAAGACTCCTTATACAAGTAACATGCCAAGTTCTGTGCAATCTTCACACTGATTTTTTTACTTCTTCACACATTCATTCAATACCTTTTTGCTGAGCCTGCCTTTCCTCCTGCCTAGAATTCTCTACTCTCCTTAAAAGTTCCTATTTCTCCTTCAATAACCAAATGGAGAGTCCTCAATAAATGCCTTTCTGACAATGATGAAGGCTCTGCTAGCCTCAAATACGTGTCATCTTCTTTTCCCATCCTCCACGCTCCACAACGTTTTGGATCTATCTTTATGATTATCTGTTTTCATTGGAGTTATGGTTTTTATTCACTAACTTTATATTAATGAAAAATTTCATATTCTGAGAAAAGGTAAAAAAAAATTCACCATAAACATATACCCACCACTAGACTCAACAATTGCTAACATTGTGCTGTATTTATTTTCTATTTATATACATATATATATTTGCTGTACCATTTCAAAGTAAGTTGTATATATCAATACACTTCATCTCGAAATATTTTAGTATGCATCTCCTAAAAATAAGGGCATCTTCCTACTTAACCACAACATCATTTCCACTTAAGAAAATTAATTGTTCCATGATACTATTTATATGTAGTTGCATAGGAGTTTTTGGAGAACAAGGACTTCCTCTATACTACCAGTACTTAATTGGTGCCCAGAACTTATTTGAGTGATCAATAAATGTTCTGACAATTGTTCAGTTTAATACCCTCCCACCAACTACCATCTAAGTCGTAGGAGTTTAACACTTTAAGAGTAAGCTTTGAATGCACAACGCTGAACTTCTTGCATTATCAGTTTAATCCAGCTATTTTCATTTCATGGCTCACAAACTAACTACTAGAATTCTATGTCATACCAAAAATATATTTCTTGCCAATCTGACAAAAATAGGTGTAATTTTGACTCTTTCACACCAGATAACTATTGTTGTGTTTGGTTGTCATTTCTTTTTTTGACAATCTAAGGGGAAAGCGGTCAGTGCTCCTCACTAAACAGTCAGGCACTGCATGTTTTAAAAATTCTTGGGGCACACCAGTTGAAAATTAATCATTTAATTACTTTCTTTAAACAAGCCTATGCTACAATAATATAGTATATTGGTTTCTGAACTACTTAATTCCACATCACAATACTAAAGCTCTGTAAAGACAGAGACTATGTCTGTCTTTTGTTAGACACATGAGTAGGCATACCTCCCCACCCCCAAATTTTAATGAATACTTTCAGCCACTGCAAATGTAAGTAGAGAAATTGGACGTGATGAAGTATAATAGCAAGCCAATAGTAGTATAACAGTTAATGCAGATTACAGAATCTGAAAAAGCTGGTTCCTAGTACAGGTTCACATGGTTAATAGGAACAGCAGTTTACTAAGGCGAGTTAGGTGACCTCTCTGAGCCTCAGTTCCTACCTCTAGAAAATAACCATCTAGTATAACTCATGGAATTGAGAGAGGAGTACAAGAAAATATGTAAAGCACTTGGCACATAGAAGAACTCAGTTAATGTCAGCTATCCTTATTATCTGCCTAAAACAAAAACTTTATTTTTCACTGGAGAATGTTCAACAGTAAAACAAAAGCCTATCCCAGTGTAGAACAATGATGGTAGGTGCTAACGTCGGCCATGCTTCTTACTCCCATTTAAGCCTTTCAGCACGCTAAACAAGGCAAGGTGTTACCAGCAGGACTCCAAAGATCGCAAACTCCCAGGAAGTCGTTGAAAACCTAATAAATGAGATCCAGTGGTCACCACCATCGCCCTTTCTCAAAGCGCGAAAGGATGCACCACTCTCCAACTGAATAGGTGCGGCAGTGACCTACTCGGTCTTCACTCCGGAAACCTGCCACGAATGGGGGGTTTTCTTCTTTTGAAGTGTGGGTGGAGGCGCGAGGGGCAAAGGGATAAAGACTACGAAATGAAAATAAAAAGTCATGTCTACCCACAGCAGTCCCCAAACTCGAGGCTGCCTACTTTGGTGGAGCGAGACTGTAGCCCAGAGTATCAGCTAGAAGCTCATCTGTTCCCTGCTGAGCAGACACCTCTGATATCTTAACCAAGAAATGGAAAAGGGAAGCAACTGAGGAAGAGAAATTAAGAAGCCAGACGACCCGCGGGGCTGTAGTTACTCTTCCACGCTGCCTTTCGTCAGGCACCTGCCCCTTAGAGGATCGCGTGTCTAAGGCTCCGCAGAGCTCAGCAGGAGACAAAGCAACTGCCCAGCAGCGGCTGCAAACCTTGGGTGACCAGGTTCCGCATCTCGGCTTTTCCTCGGTCTTGGGGCCCTCACCTTCGCTGCGGTAGTCACGCGATCGGCTGGAGATGGCCGATCCATACAGGTCTCGGCTTCCCCTATTTAATCCCGAGGGCAGGGGTGAGGTGTTGGTCAACACACTCCAGCTATAAGCGTGATCGTGGGTCTCCTTTCTTCAGTTAAGAGTAGATGTGCCACATAGAGGTAGCGCATGGCACTACTACACTAGCGAATTTCCGCCACGCCTCCTCCTCGCCCGCTTCGGGTCTCACTCAAATTCCTCACCGGGCAGAACAATTTCCGGCAAGAGCCAAAGGTTCCGACCTAAACTTCCCGGACCCGAGCTCCGTCCTCCGGGTAAGCACCCCTTCTTAACGACACGGGTAGCTTCGCTTCCGGCAGCACCAGATAAGTCGCGAGAGGGAGCTTAAATCCTGTCGTTTCCGTATAGGACCACTTCGGTGAGTGGTCGTTCTAGTGTGTTTTGTCATGCTTAATAAATTTAAAGTGAGGTGTGACCTGACAGTAATTTCAAACCCATTCGCTTCGGCTAGCCTGGGAAAGGTTTAAAGTGACTACGTGGATAATGCGCAGGCGCCCTTGAGGCGGGAGGGCCTTGCTGGGGCGTAGCGGTCGCCCCCGCCTGCCTTGCAGAAATCGGGCGGTTTCCGTTTTCGGGCCTGGGGAGGTGCCTAGTGGTTGTTATTCGAGTTTTGCCTAATGGTCGTTTTTCTGTTTGCGCTAAATTCAGCCGGATCTTGCCTTTAAGTTTTAGTTAATGAGCAGCTTAGACGCTCTGGAAATGATTCTTCACAATTCAAGTAGCCTCCAAGACTCCGCGCAAATTCAAAAGTTGAGTGCGGCACTTAATTGACGTTAAAGCATTCTTCTCCTTTCTTAAGCATAGTTGTCTTTTAATCTGAAATATTACCCTTTTGTCGCAAATTAAAATCTGCGGGGAGAAAGCTAGCCCAAGAGAGAATCTTGTCCCGTTGTTTTAAAAAGAAAAGTACCCATTTTATCTCTGGGTTCTTAAATGGACGTTTCCGAGCTAAAATAGAAAAAATTATTCAATGGAAATTTATCACACGTGGATTCATTTTTATGCATTTGGAGATGAAGACATTTTATTAAACGAATTTGTACGCCGAAGTGAAGCAGATTCTAAAATGTGTGATGTATTTAAATTTCCCAGTCTGACATGTAAAATTGTACATTTAATTTTTCAGAGATGAAAATAGAATAATTGAGAAGTAAAATTCTGACATGTGTATTGAAATATTACTGATTTTAAAATTTTGAGTTGAAACACATGTATATACCCTTTAGAGGCTTAAATTGGTACCTACAGTTAAATACTGGTTTGATTTAAAGTGACACTTCACTGCCTTTGTTGCATACACAAGATAAAATTATTTTTTTTAAGATTTTATTTATTTATCTTTAGAGGGGAAGGGAAGGAGAGTGGGAGAGAAATATCAATGTATGGTTGCCTCCCATTGCCTCATGCTGGGAACTGGCCTGCAACCCAGGCATGTGCCCTGACTGGGAATAGAACTTCCATCCTTTGGTTCGAAAACCCGCGCTCAATCCACTGAGCTACGCCAGCCAGGACAAGATAAAATTATTAAAGGAATTAAGTAATAAATATTTACTCAGGTACTCATTGATTTTATTTGATGTTGTACGAGGGATATAGTGTAAAAAGTTCAAATATGACCCTGATATTTTTCTCTTGCAACACTAGAAATTGTAACGAGCCACCTTCACTCTTTTCTTATTCCTTTTTGTTTTAATGCACAAGCAATTATTTTAACAAAAATTCCTAAAACATATCCAAAAAATCCTAAAACAATCTTATTTACTGCTCAAACCACTTAATTGTTCATGTAAATGATACCTTCATTTAATAATATTTGGGCGCAGGAAGATCGCTTAAAGGTATTTTCTTTTTTATATTTTATTGATTGTGCTATTACTGTTGTCCCAAATTTTTCCTCCTTTTCCCTTCCCTCCAGCAGTTCCCCCCAACCTTAGTTCATGTCCTTGCATCATGTATATAAATTCTTTGGCTTCTCCATTTCCTATACTGTTCCTGATACCCACCTATTTTATACCTACCAATTTTGCTTCTTAAACCCTGTACCTTTCTCCCATTTTCCTCTTTCCCCATCCCGGCTGATAACCCTCTAAATGATCTCCATATCTATGATTCTGTTTCTGTTCTGAATATTTGCTTAGTTTTCCTTTTTAGATTCAGTTGGTAATTGTTGTAATTTTTTTTGCCTTTTTAACATTCATAGTTTTGATCTTTTTCCTAAATAAGTCCCTTTAACATTTCATGTAATAATGGCTTGGTGATGATGAACTCCTTTAGTTTTTTCCTTCTCTGAGAAGCACTTTATGTGCCCTTCCATTCTAAATGATAGCTTTCCTAGATAGAGTAATCTTGGATGTAGGTGCTTGCCCTTCATTACTTTGAATACTTCTTTCTAGCCCCTTCTTGCCTGCAAGGTTTCTTTTGAGAAATCAAGTGATAGTCTTATGGGAACTCCTTTGTAGGTAACTTTCTGCTTTTCTCTTGCTGCTTTTAATTAAGATTTTCTCTATATCTTTAACCTTTGACATTTTAATTAAGATGTGTCTTGGTGCGGACCTCTTTGGGTCCACTTTGTTTAGGACTGTGTGTGCTTCCTGGATTTGTATGTATATTTCTTTCACCAAATTAGGAGAGTGTTCTTTCGTTATTTTTTCATATAAGTTTTCAATTTCTCACTCTTTCTCTTCTCCTTGTGGCACCCCTATGATTTGGATATTGGTATGTTTAAAGTTGTCCCAGAGGTTCCTAATCTTGTCCTCAATTTTTAAATTCTTTTTTCCTCCTGCAGTTCTGATTGAATGTTTTTTCCTTCCTTGTGTTCCAAATCATTGATTTGATTCTCAGGTTCATCCTTTCAACTGTTGGTTCCCTGTAGATTTTTCTTTATTTCGCTTAGTGTAAACTGTATTTCTTCCCTTATGTTTTTGCCATACTCAGTGAGATCTTTGAGCATTCTGACCACCAGTGTTTTGAACTCTGCATCTGATAGGTTAACTATTTTCACATTGCTTAGTTCTTTTTCTGGGGTTATGTTCTGTTCTTTCATTTGTGTCATATTTCCTTGTCTCCTCAATTTGGCAGCCTCCCTGTGTTTGTTTCTGTGTGTTAGGTAGAGCTGCCTTAACTCCCTGTCTTAGTGGCATTGTCTATTGTAGAAGGGGCACCTGTAAATTGTGAGGGACAGAGTCTTAGGTGATGACCAGATCTGGCAACTCACTTCACTACTTTGTATGGGGGCATTGCTCAGAGAGGGAACAGTGTCACTGCCTGGCTCCAGAAGGTTTGTCCAGCACTTATCCCATTTTCAGTCACTTCCCCTACGTGACTGGTGCCCATCCAGCTATTGCCCTGGTGATGAATTCCAGAGTGGGTTGGATTGCTTACTTTCTCAGTTCATTCTGGCCCTTTAAATGGACTCTCTTGAAAATCCAGCAGTTTCTTCTGCCACCCCAACCCCCACTGGTTTCAGCCAGGAGTTATGGGGACCTGTCTTTCCTTTGCTGGGACCCCGGACTGTGTGGTCTGGCCTGGGGCTGGGATTGCTTGCTCCTAGGGTCTCTCTCCTAATTTTTATCCACCATGCATGAGTGTGGGACCACCCATTCTGCCGCTACCACTCTGTGCCACACTGTGTCTCCATGGCTCTCTTCCCATAACCTTGATTCCATCTCTCCTTACCCATTTGGATGAATGTGGCTTCCTTAAATCCTTGGTTGTCAGACTTCCATACAACTTGATTTTTTTACAGTTCTGGTTGTTACTTGTTTTGAGATATAGTTGTAATTCTCTCTTTGGTTGCAAAAGGTGAAGCATGTTTACTTACGCCTCCATCTTGACTGGAAGTCCTAAAGCCATCTTATTATTATCTATGCAAATGGATGCTTTCTAGGGACCAAATGATGAATATACTTTGAAAAGAAAAAAAATCTTCTATTTCTTTAAGTTATCCCTGTATGTAAATGCCAGATATTAGCAGCTAATTTTTAACTATCTACTTAAGTATCTACACTACTTTTGTGAATTGATTTTTCTCTATTTGTCCTTGTCATCTGTCTTTACTGCAGAACTAGAGCTTGTGAACCCTATTAGACTATAATCTCATTATAAAGTATGCAGCTGTTGGATCTTTTGGATTTCGTTGTTAGTAAGAACATTATCAACATTGCCAGAAAACAATGAACTATTAGTGAAAGGAATGAAGTTTTAAAATATTTTTCCCTGTAAAGATTTTGAAGAAAATGGTTCTCTGATACTCTTTGAACAGCTTGATATGGATAATAATACTTAAATGTTTTAAGAATGATAATATGTTGATTTACTATTTGTAAAAGACTTTTCAAATTTATTATTTCACTGATCCACATAATTGTGGGAAATGAGGGATAAGTATTATGTCCTTTTTCCAGATGTGGATACTAAGATTTAAGCAGCTCACACACTGGAAATTCTGACTTGTAAAAGCCTTACCTTCTTGAACACAATGTACTTGTAGTTCCACACATATGCAGGCAGTATTTTCCAAAAGGGAACTTTGGAACATGTACCCTGTTTTAATTCAGTGCTACCTCTTCCATTAGGAGATGGAAGAAATTACTTATTTATTGGCATATAATTTAATGTCCATTGTGTCCCAAACACTGTATGAAACAGTATAAACATTAAGAATTGGTAAGGCCTTATTCTTTATTTATAATTTAAATTATTTATTACAAAATCACTTTATAACTTTCCTAGCAGAGGCCTGAACCAAATATTATGAAAGCTGAGGATGACAAATAATTAATTCCTAGTATAGCAGAGGGGAAAAAAACTAACATGAAATTTGAAGCAACAAAGACCAAGGTTCAAATGTCAGTGCATGAACTCACTAACTGTGTTGCCTTGTGTAAACTGGATAATCTCTCTGAACCTCCATTTTCTTATCTATAAGGTGGTTGTAAAATAGAATGTTTGCAGTTATTTTTTTCATTGCTTATGTATTTTACTTTTTTTGTTTGTTTGTTTTTAAACACTTGTTCTGCCTATAACTTTGGCTTTCCAGTTGTCAGATGAATAAAGTAGTAGCACATAGAGAATATAGTCTTTTGTTTATGGCTCCTTTCACTTAGCCTAATGATTTTGAGACTCATCCATATTCTAGGCATATTTGTAGTTGTTTCTC